CCGCGATATAACTGGAATACTGTTAAAAGCGGTGTCAAACCCAACCCACCCACCCACCCACCCACCCACCCACCCACTCACTCACTCACTCACTCACTCACTCACTCACTCACTCACTCACTCACTCACTCACTCACTCACTCACTCACTCACTCACTCACTCACTCACTCACTCACTCACTCACTCACTCACTGAAAGTTACCAACATAAGTTTAATCCCTGTTTTGAAGTCATTTCTCAGAGGCAGGGAAATTCTCGTAAATAATGGACGGTTTACATAAAATAGTGTCAAAGTCGAGTTGAAGACAATATGCTTTTAAGACATGCTATTGTTTGTAATTTCATTTTAACTTATATTTCAAGTTTTTTTTAAAAAGAATTCACTCCAAATGAACCCTTTCAATATTTTTTTGTTTTATTTACTGTTGTCTGTTTTATTTTGGTGTATTGACCAATCCTGATGAAATATCTATTCTATATCTGAAACACTGACTATACCAGGCTGAACTTGAAGTACCAGAGAAATATTTCCTGTATCACCACTTCAATGATACACATGCATGAGCAAGGGTAGATGAAACATGAAGCAATTTAGGATGCAGTTCTGCACTTTGACTTGCGCCGCATTTAGACCACGGATTCATCCTTCATCTAACAGAAAAATATCGATGTATAACGTTCAGTTAGAGATTAGTGACCTTGGACGACCGTTTATGAAAGTCTCTTTCATTTGCTGACATTCTAATCAGTGTGGCATGTCAGTCTAAACTTCAAGCTGTCTGGTTGTGATGGGTCTGACAGTAAGTAGCTCGCCTGTGATGGGACAAGACACTCACAGTCGGCTGTGAGAGCACAGTGGTGTAGTCTGGAGTCGATGCTTGTTCAGCAATAGGAAGTGGACACATGTCAACACCAATTAATGTCCTGTGACTAGCTTTCTAAAAGCTGGTGGGGTAGGGGGGAGGGGGGGGAGAGAGATCATGGCTGGTGTTTCATTGCTTGTTCAGCAAACAGTGGACGTCTGACAACACCAAGTTGTAATTATATGCATTATAGTATAACACTGTGCAGAGTTGTGTCCCTTAGGCATGCCAGGAAACTATGGTCGTGGATTTGAATGCTGGTTGGCCCCCAGTTATGTTTCTAGGTTTCTCAGGACCATACTCGTGCTGATGGATTTCACCAAAGTGGTAAACGTCTGAGACCTGCATCACTTCAGGCTTTCCTCCCACGTCAAGCTGACACGCTGTGATATAACTGGAATACTGTTCAAAGTGGTGCTGAACCAAACTCAAAACTCTTAAACATTATGGTATAGGTAGCAACCAATGAAAAACTTTTGACTGAAATATTCTTCATTTCGTGATTCTTGCCAAACTGCAACATATAAATGCATATATCCTATCCAAGAACTGCGAACAGAAAGTTTTATCTTGTCATATATTTGATGAGAATTATGATATAATGTTTAGGCCACCTGAAAATGTGACAATGATATATGTGCTACATTTTCCTTGTGTCATCATGACTGAGAGTTCCTTAGATGTCAAAGACGATTATTTGTTATGTGGAGTTGACCGTTTAATTTGTGCGTGATGTCTGTCGTGTATCTCCACCTGGCATGGTGGCCAGCACCCAATGGACGACAGTGATAGGGCAGCTGGTCGTCAGACGGAGACAAATCCTATTCCCTATCCACAATAATGATTAGATTATTATTAAAGGAGCAAAAGGACCCTTGAGAGTCTGAAATGTCGTTGAATCGATCCATTAAAACCCCCCAGTGTCAGTTATAGGAATGAAGAGGCAGACCTGGGATAGGAGACTCCTGAGTGGTGTGTCACCATCTTTACCATGTCCCACGGTGACAGCATATCTCTAGTAGACTTCGATTTACACATTCGTAAGGTCACACCCTATTGTCAAGGGTTGTCAATTTAGTTTCTTTAATATAAAGCAATGTTTTATATGTGTGTGTTACTCAGGTTGCGTAAGTGAGTGAGTGAATATGGTCTTATGCCACTTTTAGCAATATTCCAGCAATATCACGGCGGGGGCACCAGAAATGGGCTTCACACATTGTACCCATTTGGGGAATCAAACCCTGGTCTTCGGCATGACGAGCGAACTCACAGACTATTTTTTTGTTCAGTTTCTTTTAAGTTGGATATTGGCATATTTGCAAGACTGCAAGACTAAAAAATGCCAATTTCTAACACCAGAGTCTCTGTGGAATATTCCCTCCAAGATCAACACAGGACATACATGTATATATCCGTGGCAAGATGCTAACACTGGAGACACTGGAGATAAGTGTTCTTGGGCTGTAGAAGGAAATGTGATTATCCTACATGTCTGAGCTGCTGCAGTTATTAAGGGGAAAAACACAAGTTCGCCAATAGGTTTAGGTGTCTCATCAAAAAAATGAAATGGTTGAAAATGCCAAATGCAAAAAGGATTTTAGTTTCTTGAGGATCCATGTCTTGAGTGTCATGTGACCTGATGCTGTTGGCGATGAGAAATAGATGGACTGTCTCAGAGAGCAGTGTCCAGGGAATTTGTGTGAACTGTTCTTGAGTTTATCTCTTGATGATAGCATATAATTATTTTTTTTAAATGAAAATTAAGTTGTCATGTCTGAAGAAAGGAGCATATGGGTCCTTACAATGTCATAATTTATTGAGGCTGTTCTGTGGGTGTTACATGTTAGTGTGAGGCTGGTGTGGTTTTTTTTCACCAGGAGCACCTGCTGCCACAAAAAATGGAGAATTACTTCAGGCCTACCACTTAATGATCAAAGAAAGTTCTCTCATGGAGATGTGACTGATACCTTCTTGTTTTTTCAGAAAGTTTTTTTAAGTACAATAATTTACAGACTTCTACAGAGCCGATTCATACACATCTTCCCTAGGCAGAAAGTTAACTGACTATAAAAGTCCAGTTTCAAACCTTGCTGAACTAGCCTGGTATTATGGAGTTACCTTTTGGCTGGACTATTGAGTCTATTCATATTCGAGTCCAATCAAAATCGCGCAACGAAATCGGAATCTGGTTCGTAAACTATCATGCAGCTTTCAGTCGATTGCAGGATTTGCAAAGCATGTGCACCACCAACTTGTCCACAGATATTTTCCAAATCTTTTCGTGTTTTTAATCAAGGTGTTCACGTGATTTGATGCACTTTTCGATGTAAGACCCGTTTTATCACAATATAGATTTTGTTTATCAATCAGATTGTCTTGACTGGGCGCCGACATTTTGTTTAAAGGAAATGCAAGTGATATGAGAGGTGGAATCTGGTTGGTCCATAGGAGAAGCTTAGAAAGGATATAACTCGTAGTGCCTAGTTCGGCAAGGGTGGAAACTGGACTTTTAAAGTCAGTTAATTCTCTTGCCACGTGAAGATGATTCATATATAGACATAAGACTGAGGTCCATGATGGGTCTGACAGATCCTTGGTAGAACCCAGATCCATGGTAGGAGTCGGATCCATGGTTGGACTGACAGATCCTTGGTAGGGCTCAGATCCTTGGTTGGATTGACAGATCCTGGCAGGACTCGGATCCATGGTAGGAGGATGAGATTAAGCCTGCCTGTCTTTAATGTCACAGTATGGCATCCAACCTGGGATGCCATTAGGAGTGAACACTCTAACCACAAAGCTAACTGCCTGTCCCCCTGCATTTTCCCGAGGCAAGTGAGTTAACTGATGATAAAAGTCCCGTTTCCACCCTTGCTGAACTAGGCTGGTATTATGGAGTTACATTTTGGCTGGACAGACGAGTCTATGCATAGTCCAATCAAAATCGTTCAATGAAATCGAAATCCGGTTCATAAACTGTCATGCAGATTTCGGTTGATTGCAGGATTTGCAAAGCATGTGCATCGCCAGCTCGTTGTCAACAGATATTTTCAAAATCTTTTTTATGTTTTTAATCAAGGTACTCACGTGATTTCATGCATTTCGCGATGTAAGACCCGTTGTATCATAATGTAGACTTTGATTATCGATCAGATTGTCTTCACAAGGCGCCGCTGTTTTGCCTTTGAAGCAAATGCAAGTGATACGAGAGGTGGAATCTGATTGGTCCACAGGAGAAGCTTAGAAGGGACATAACTCGCAATAGCCACTGGTGGCGCTACGATCGAACCCAGGAATTCCAGCCTAGTTCAGCAAGGGTAGAAACTGGACTTTTAAAGTCAGTTTACTCTCTTGCCTCGGGAAGATGATCCCCCTGTGAAAGTAATATATATATTGTCCACAGTTGTACTGTGTGTGTACACATAGAATAATTTAATATATAGTTCATGCTTAAGGAACAGTGGAGTAGTGTTTTGGTTAAAGCATTCACTCCTCACACTGAAGGTCTGGGTTTGATTTCCCACATGGATACAATGTATGAAGTCCTTTTCTGGAATGCCCCTGGCTATATTGCTGGAAACTTGCTCATGTGTGGTGTATAGAGTGAGTGAGTGAGTGAGTATGGTTTTACGCCCCTTTTAGCAATATTCCAGCAATATCACAGTGGGGGACACCAGAAATGGGCTTCACACATTGTACCCATGTCAGGGATCGAACCCGGGTCTTCGGCGTGACGAGCGAACGCTTTAACCACAAGGCTACCCGACCACCCCTGGTGTATAGAGTGTCTGCCTGGTGAGTGTAAGGTCGGTGATCCAATTCCCTGGCCTTGGTTTGCCAAAAGACACTTAAGGATGTGTCTCAGAGGTGTCTCCATGTTAATCTGTGGCATAGTTTCTCAGTGGGCTTGGACAATTGAGCGTACAAATGTGCATGCATATCGCTATTATAAGTGAAATAATCTTGAAACTGAAGACAGCAAGCCTTATTATGTTAAACCCAATTTTTCCTTACATCACCTTAAAGTGGCATAAAACTGTGTCCCTCCCTCCCTCCCTCCCTCACTCACTCACTCACTCACTCACTCATGTATTAATATTTGAAAAAAGTTTCTCACAAATGAAAATAATTTTCAGGATCTGACTGTGCGACAGACATAGATGACTGTCAGGTGGCGCCATGTAAAAATGGTGGCACTTGTCAAGATGGCATCAACAGCTTCACTTGTGTCTGCGCTAGCGGTTTTACGGGTGCAACATGTTCCGTGGACATCGACGACTGTGTGTCAGGCCTGTGTTTATTTGGCTCTACGTGTGTGGACCTGGTCAATAGCTACACCTGTTTGTGTGCGGCCGGATACACGGGAAGGTCATGTGACCACGATATAGACGAATGTGCATCTGGACCCTGCTACAATGGTGGCACGTGTGCAGATGGACGAGCTTCGTACTCCTGTCAGTGTCCTTTGGGATTCACAGGTAGGAGAATGTCAAATGTAATTTGTGTGAGGTCACAAGATCAAACACTCTATCCTATACTGATAAACTTATATTGATAAAATATTCTTATATATATTTAGAAAATTTTGATAAAATGGCTCCAATAAAAACAAACCCGTTTTTTGTTACCTCGTTTGAAAGTTTTCAAAAACTAATTTCAAAAAGTTTACACAAACATTCTGTGATAAACATTATACAAAATACCTCCAGCCCTATCTATGATCAATGTTGCGTGATGTTGGTTTTCTGCTAATCATCATTAGTTCTAATTAGATTTTCTTTAATAGCTTAAATGTTTTACCACAGCCTTGATTGATAATTTTACAAAGCTTAATGATAATGAAAGATGGTTTTATGAAGATTTTATGAGAGCTTCAAGGTAGACCACCAATTTGCACGCCATATAAGATATGAATGATCTAAATGATACTCGAAATCCTTTGATGAAACGTGATGTAAAGTTTAAGATACTGTAATTTCATGGTCCATCAACAGAATGGGTCTGTTGCCTAATGTCTGCACTGTCCCAGTGAATTATTTGAATTTTATCCCAAAAATGAGTCTGGAGGCATTAAAAAATTCAGATTTTTTTTTTTTAAGAAAATGATTAAGGCATGTGTGTATATTAACTTTTGATGGATGAAATTCACATGATTATGTATGGGATATATCGTGATTTTCTTTGTCTCGGGGTACTTGGAGGCAATAAAATGATGTGAGGTTGGGTTTGTGGGGGATGTAAGGCCTAATTAAAACCTTTCATTTAAGGAGTTTTCACTGTGTATGTTTCTGACCAGGGCGCCGGTGTGAGGTGGACATTGATGACTGTCGTGGGCCGGTGCGGCATCTGTGTGTGAATGGTGCCACTTGTGATGACCGTGTCAACAACTACACCTGCATCTGTGGCCCTGGCTGGGAGGGCCGCTACTGTCAACAGGTACCATATTTCCTCTATTAGACGCCCAGGCTTCTATTTATTTTGGACAAGCCTTTGACCCGGCGTAAATTTGAGGCCCGGCTTCTATTAATACCCCCATTTCACTATGACCATGAATGTCCTGAAACGTCACGAAATGGAAATTGTATGAATTGATCGACCCGGCGTCTATTAGAGGCCCGGCTTCTATTTTGGGCACTGAACAATTGACCCTGCTTCTATTAGAGGCTTGGCGTCTAATAGAGGAAATACGGTATACACTTTGGTGTCACAATAATATCTGTCAAGTCAGTTGGAAATGAATTGAGGGTAAACAAATAAGATCAAATGCTAGGGCTTTGCGAAATTTTGAAACGTTCTAAAAGGTTGGAGTTTATGTACCAAATTTAAGAATTTAAGAATTCATACATTCTTGTTCACACAGATATTGATAATCTCCACTGTGTAGCCTTTAATCCATTTACTAAGTGTGAGAATTGTGTCTCCATGTTCTGGTGTTTTGGTGTTCTAGGAGACTGATGAGTGCAAACCACGACCATGTGCTAATGGTGGTTTGTGTATCGACGGCTTCAACAACTTTACCTGTAAATGCCCCAACAACTTCAAGGGAATCACGTGCAGCGACGATGTTGATGAGTGCAAGGGAGACAACTCACCATGCCTGAACATGGGCAGATGTAACAACACGTTTGGTTCTTACACCTGCGACTGTGGGGAAGGTAGGCATCACTTGATGTAAACTCAGTGTTTGCTTTTCATTGTTTTTGAAGTTGGAGTAGATCTCCCTGTAGGTCTTCTGGTGTAGAAGTGGTCAGACTCAGTGACCTGGTTGATTGACTGTCATCGTACCCTTAAGGCGTGGACATTGTATCCTAAAGGCATGGACCGTTGATCATAGTATTAATCACTGGATTGTCTGGTCCAGACCGAATGACCTATAAATTTTCCATCTTTAGCACCATCATCTACTAGGAGCTTGTTTTTTTGTCATATTTTCTTGGAAGACAAAGGGAGATAATTTTGGGGCTGTGGGGTAGCCTGGTGGTTAAAGCTTTCGCTTGTCACATCATAGACCCAGGTTCGATTCTGCACATGGGTACAATTTCTGGTGTCCTTCACCATGATATTGCTGGAATATTACTAAAAGCGGCGTAAAGCTATACCCACTCATTCAGTTAATTTCGGAAAAGTAATTTATTATGCAAGGAATTTCTCTACATCTCATAGACTGAACAAATTGGGGAAATATTAATGACAAATTTTATTTTTAATAAGTTTTATAGCTGGTTTTTTTAGTAACACAGTAATCTCAGATTATTATAGTTTTTCAAATTTTGAAGAAAAATGGTCAGCAGGTCTGCGATCCAACAAATAGAATCTTAATGGCTATAGTCAGATCTCATTTAAGGACATTTGTTTTTGTTGATTAGACCAAAGATCTATATATGTCTTTGATAAGACACATTACATTACAGGGTACTCTGGAAGCCATTGTGAGTCCGATATCAACGAATGTCAAGGTCTTCCATGTCACTTCAATGGGACGTGTGTGAACCTGATTGGTGGATATCGATGTGACTGTGTGGAGGGCTTCATGGGAAAGAACTGTGAGGCAGTCATACGACAGTGTCAGTTCGTCAACCCGTGTGGGGACAATGCTGTATGTGTGGAGAAGCCTTCTGGTAGGTTCAGAACATTGTCTTGATACATCCTTGACACCAAAAGATCTCTTCATGACAAAGAGTATTATGGATAAGAACTTCTTTACATGCACAACTTTCCAGGGCTACCTCTTGCCCCTTCAGACCGCCTCCGTGATCTGGTGGTAGAGCATCTGCCCCGAGAACAGAAGGTCAGGGGTTTCACCTCTCCTTTTGCCCCTTCATCAGGTGAAGGATATACTCTGTGTCATGGTTACATCCAACTTCTAAGTGCCTATAACAACTCAAAAAGTATCCCTTGGTATTTTCTTGTGTGCTGCAGTCTGAATGGTCGAAAATTGGTAAATGTGATCACGGAAATCTTTAAGACTTGCGAATGATTGCTTTTCTTGATTATATTCCCTAATTCCAAATTTGATAAACATGCCATTCAGCTTGGCAATATGGATACCACATTGATTATTGTTTGATCAGTATTTATCAGAATAACTTGGATTCGGTTGTTTCTTTCCACGTTCTGCTAACCTTGCGTTTTCAGTTGCTGTGATAGCATCAGACTTCATGTGGTGCATTTTGATGTCCCAGCATCCCAGCATGATATCATGCCTAAACACAACTTAATTGTGAGAGTTCACGAACAGAGAGATTGCCATGTGTAGTTACAAATACGTATGCTTTTTTCAACATTAATAAGCAATATCATAAGTAATATGCAGGTTCCAAATGAAACTTCTGGCATCAAGTACTCAATAACACCTGTAAATCTGAAAACACTTCATGTAAATCTCCATAAAGTGCCAGAATGTTGAGCGTTGAGCAAACAATAGCTTATTCAGAATTTTCTGCTTCAGTGACCAATTCATTAGTGCACTCAGGTCAGGAAGCGCTGTTTTCGGGGAATACTTCTGCCTTGTTTCTGTAAGGTGATTGGCTTCATACGACCAAGGCATTTGTATTGTAATCTAGGATTTGATAAACGCTGGCTTCTAATCCAATTAAGCTGGCTATAAGTAATTTGTAACTCATCCTTAAGAAAAACACAGAAGCTTTCTCTTCAATTTTGCTCTAATGAACACATGACCGAAGTGAGTTTCTTCTACGCAGCGCTTGGGTTGTTGTCTTCGCTGTCAAAGCTCTATAGGTATTGGTGTGACATCACGTACACTCAGAAATAATTTCATGCTTGAATCAAAAACATCCAGAACTATCAACGTTCTGGCCCTTTAATGTGCACTGATGGCATGGATCACACAATAGCTGGTTCACTCCTCATACACTCTCTCTTAAAGGTTTCAACACCATTTAGTTCAATTATTTCTCTGGATATTTGTATATTGAACACATTAATCTATTTTCCGTTTTAGGCGGATACACATGTTTTTGTAAACCTGGTTACCATGGCAACAGATGCGAAACTGAGATCAACGAGTGTTCCTCGACTCCTTGTCGTAATGGTGGCACTTGCCGTGACAGCATCAACTTCTATAATTGTTCCTGTGTGGAAGGTATGCATCTTAGAGCTCAAGATATTAACAGCAATCGTAGAGACTGAGCTGCAAGCTCTGGACCATTTAGCATATATACTACTCAACTTTCGATAGGGATAATCAGATATGTCATTCTATTTAAATATACACTTGACATGTGAGAATGAGATTTGTGTATCGTGGAGAGAAAGATATATATCCCTATAAAAAAGGAATACCGTATACGACGTAATAAGCGCCAGGGCGCTCTTAAAATTAAAAATAGGGGGCTCTTATTAGAATATTATTTTTTGGGAAAAAACATAGTTGAAAGATAAATTTCGTGGTTTATGCTGACAGCCTGAAATGTTGATATACGACAGATATATTTTTCAAGAATTTAATTGCCCATAATTAAGGGTTCATATAGCACACGAGTGTGTATTATACGCGAATAAATAAGTCTTGTGTATATTGATCAATCGGAAGGGGTGCTAATTGGGATTGTTCACTAGCCAATATATTAGGAAATATTGCCGTTTATTACGGGGCGCTTATTACGTTGAATACGGTAGTATACTGACTGCAGTGTCTTATGTTTATTTTGGGGTTGGCACATTATCACAGCCTGGAAACAACAGGGGTCACAGGCGGCCCAGTCGTCTAAGGTGCTGCAATTTGCTGTGCAGAGTTACATGCCTTAGGCAAGCCAGAAACCTAAGATCATGGGTTGAATTCCCAGTTCGCCCCTATTGGGTTTCTAGGTTTGGCAGTTCCATACCCGTGTGCATGGGTTTCACCCAATTAAGTGGTAAACGTTGGAGACTTGCATCACTTCGGGCTTTTCGCCCTCATCATGCTACCACACTGTGATATGACTGGAATACTGTCATACTATGGTATCAAATCCTACTTACTTGAAACAACATCATATTAGTTTTTTGATTTTATCTTACATTTACTCAAAATGGGCATGCAATTAGAAAGCACAACTTTTTGGTTTGATTTACTGTTTCTTTGTGTGAAACTTCCTGTTTGGAGGGCCGAAGAAAAAGGAAAGGAATAGACATTCTTTTCTACCCTTTGACAACTTATGTTTTCTTGTACTGTGTATGATCTCTCCAGTTTTTCGGTTAAGCATATTAAGTCCATAAGTATTTACAGAGATCCTATTTAAATATGGATGACAGATGTCAATGAAATGTTTTGTTTGATCATAAACTATTGCAAATGTTGGTGATAATATTATTTAGCACTCATATTTTGGTTAACACACAGCTTGCATTGAAAAAAACCCCATGCTTTTCATTTTATTTTTATAAAATAATGGTCAAATGGCAGATTGAGAATTCAATTTAAAATGGAATTAGTAAATGTTTGGGGTGGCTTGTTATGTATTGGATTTTGTATGCCATTGTTGTGTGTTTGAAAAAGTTAGGTTTCAAGGTTTGATTTTTTCTGAAACTGTTCAAGTCACTGATTATCCTCCCTTGTTTCCTAGGTTACGGAGGGAAGAACTGTGAGGTGGACATCAATGAATGTGCAAGTCAGCCATGTTTGAATAAGGGCGTGTGTTATGAACCTGCCCTCAACACCTTCGGCTGTAAGTGTCGGCCAGGCTTCACTGGCATCAGTTGTGATGTGAACGTAGATGACTGCATCTCCAACCCATGCCAGCACTACCAGGTGTGTGTGGATAGAGTCAACCACTACAGGTAGGTACTCCGTCTCATCACCAACCTCACTACAGACAGGTAGACAGGATCAGTTTGGCGATAAGACTAAGATATCTTCGTTCATTGCCTAATTACCATAATTGTAGCAGTACACAAGCATGTGGCTGGTGCCATGTGTTTGCACTCAGCAGATTGTTAGTGAGAATTATCTCCCCTGTCTGTTTGGCTGAGGCCCATTTAAGGATGGGGCCCGTTTAGGGTTAAGCTATAATACCACAATCAGTGTAGAAAAAAGAGTTGGTGGTCCATTACTCACCACAATTTGATGTAGAGAATCATGTCCCTTTCTTGTGCCAGGATCCTTGATTATGACCCCTCGTCTGTCAGCACTATGCCAATGCGCACAGTTGCTCCAAAGTGATAATCCTCTTTGACGTGCATCATTTTTATTTACACTGAAATGACACATTCTGACACAGCTGAGAAAGGGGTGTGAAACCCAACTCATTGCCTCCTGTACACACCCCTACTGCCACACCTATTAGGAGTCTGCAGCACATATTGCTTCAGGCTACCAAGATCACATGAATAAACACATACTTAACTATATTTTTCTTCCATCATTTGAGATTGAACTAATTATGTGGATGTATAAAATGGTGACATTCAAATATTGTGTTCCAGTTGCGAGTGCGCCCCAGGCATGACAGGAGATGTGTGTAACGTCCATATTGATGATTGCCATAGCAACCCATGTAACAACCACGGCACCTGCATTGACGTCGGCAACATGTACGTCTGTCAGTGTCCATACCCATACACAGGCAGGAACTGTGACACTGATGTGGATCCCTGCTTCCCTAACCCCTGTCTCCATGGTGGCACCTGTTTCCTTGACAACAGCATTGTCGAGGGCTACAGATGTACCTGTACGGGTGGTTTCATTGGCAAGCGTTGTCAAGGGGATGTGTATGACTGCCGGTCCAACCCCTGTCAGAACGGTGGTACATGTGTCGAGAACACGGATGGACATGCAGGCTTCAAATGTCGGTGTTCGAGAGAGTTTGCAGGGACGTACTGTGAACTTGAGTCCAACGACTGCATGTCCACGCCATGTCAGAACGGAGGAAGTTGCACACCAAACCAAAATGGTAATTATGCTTTCTGAATAATCCTGATTGGAAGTTGCATAAAAATTATTATATTCTAACTCTGCTCTACTTGATACAAGTGACACAGACTGCCTCCATGGTCTTGTTGATAGAGTGTCTGCCCAGAGATCAGAAGATCGGTGGTTGATCCCCAGACCATCACACTAAAAGATGTTAAAAGATGGTACTTGTAGAAAAACTGAACCAGTCGGTTTAGAGTATACTGTGTCTGAGTGGGGTATTCATGTTAAACTGTGGCATGGTATCGCAGTGGGCTAGCAATATAAAACCTCATTAGTCTGGACTAGTAGAAGCACACACACACAGACATGCAAACAGACACAGAAACAGACACACACCCATGCACAGACACAAACATACATGCATACACATATATGCTTATCACTATTTATGTGCAATAATCTTGAACATGACATTAAATCGCATTGATGAAAATCAAACATTAAAATAATGGAATCGCACACCCTAATGGTAGACTTCTTCTGAACAATCTTCTTCTTCATATCTACATGAACAGGCTACACGTGTCAATGCCCTTTAACATACACGGGTCAGGACTGTCGCCAAGACGTCGACGAATGTGACCAATCAGCAACTCTGTGTCAGAATGGTGGTCACTGCTTCAATCTGATTGGTGGATATAGTTGTGTGTGCAGCCCCTATTGGACAGGCCCCAACTGCCAGGTGGACATCAAGGAGTGTCAGCTGAGTCCCTGCCGGAACAATGCAACCTGCATGGAGGTGGTGGGTGGGAGCCCCCGGTGTGTCTGTCCTCCAGGTGAGTTTGGTGTGGGTCCTAGTCTGTGGTTTGAATCTGTGGTTGCAAGGAGGTGGTGGATTTGAGCATTAGTGAGTTTGTTTGTTGTTTAACGCCACACTCAGCAATATTAAAACTGTATGACAGCGGTCTGTAAATAATCGAGTCTGGACCAGACAATGCAGTGATTAATATCATGAGCATCGATCCGGGCAATTGGGATAGATGACATGCATAAACCAAGTCAGCGAGCCTGACCATCTGATCCCGCTAGTCGCCTCTTACGACAAGCATAGTCGCCTTTAATGGCAAGCATGGGTTGCTGAAAACTTATTCTACCCCGGATCTTCATGAGCCTAGTGAGTTTGATGTGAATTCAAGTACACTGCTTGGTTATCAAGCAAGTAATTTTTGTTTGTCTTCATATTTCTTGTTTGGGATAAATCATCTTAAAATGTTTTGGAAATAGATCTTTCATCTCATGAACTCATGAATTTTCAGCTATGTTAGATGTATATTATTTAATAGTATTCCAACTGTGTGTCATTGTGTGCTTTGGTAATGATTCAGGTTTGACTGGTGCTACTTGTGAGTCAAGGGACTACGGGTGTGAGATCTCACCGTGTCGGTCTGGGGGGACCTGTGTGCAGCAGGGGGATGCCTACATCTGTCGGTGTTACCCCGGATACACAGGTAAGTGTTGGGGGGTGAGAGTGTGAGGGAAACGCCTTCAGGTGAGACTGTTCAAGGAGAGGGGGAAGGAACAGGGTGTTGCCTTTGTCTGGCAGGCTCTAACGTAAATGCCTTCCGCTTAACTTTGGTGTGAGAATGGTGTTAATATCCTGCAGTCCAATGTTCACTTCACAACATTCTCACTTCTGGAATTTTTAGGCATAAGATGAAATTGTGCATTTAAACTGTAGAAAACCCTTGAAACATGTTACCCTCTTTGAAATATCAAAACATTTGTTTCTAATTTAACAATTTGTTTGTCTTGTTTTATCAGGTGCAAACTGTCAGACCAACATAGACGAGTGCAGTTATTTCCCCTGCAAGAATGGTGGCACATGCACCGATGCTAGCAATGGCTTCCGCTGTCAGTGTGCTCCCAACTTCGCCGGGTTGACCTGTACGGAGCTGATCAGCCCCTGTGACCCCAACCCCTGCCAGCATGGGGGTACCTGTCAGGAGGCGGGGCAGGGAGTCTTCAAGTGCTCATGTCCGCAGGGCTACACAGGTGAGGGAAGCTGATCTGCATCAGAGCTAGAGATAAGCTGTTTATTTGCGTAAAATACGCATTAAAAAAACTGAAATACGCAGACAAATAAAATCCTAGCGTATCAAATATGCAGCAAAAACTATAAACGCACTATTGAAATTAAATTAATGCATATATTATAACTATTAGATAAAATGATTGTGTATTTTACAACTGTTAGATAACATGATTGTGTATCAGCCAATTGCGAATTTCACTTGCTGACAGTTACATTCGGAAAAGCTTGTGCGACAACTATACTGATAGATGCCCATTGGAAAGCACATCGTGCCTAGTCAATGTACATGTTGTGTCTTAAACAGTCGCTGAAAAAGCGCCTTTCCAACTATGCTAAGTTTTACAAACAAAAATGGCTTCCCGGAGAGGGAGCCGCAAGCAGACACAGACGTAGACAGATATACTACTATTCACATAGTTTAAAATGATTTAAGGGGATTGTTACGAAACAGGTTTTAAGTCAAAATACCAAAATGTCAAGAAACAGGTGGGTAAAAATATTTGAATACCCTCTAAAAATTGTGGATACCCAGTCAAAATTAACCCCCTGGGTAAAATACCCAAACAACAAGAGCTTATCTAGAGCTCTGACCCTTACCTTACCAGTAAAAACATCTGCATCAGTAACATCCATATCAGTACAGTCATCTGCATCAGTAACATCCATATCAGTACAGTCATCTGCATCAGTAACATCCATATCAGTACAGTCATCTGCGTCAGTAAAACATCCATATCATTACAGTCATCTGCATCAGTAAAACATCCATATCAGAACAGTAAAACATCCATATCAGTACAGTCATCTGTATCAGTAACTTCCATATCAGTACAGTCATGTGCATCAGTAAAACATCCATATCAGTACAGCCATCTGCGTCAGTAACATCCATATCAGTACAGTCATCTGCATCAGTAGAACATCCATATCAGTACAGCCATCTGCGTCAGTAAAACATCCATATCAGTACAGTCATCTGCATCAGTAAAACATCCATATCAGTACAGTAAAACATCCATATCAGTACAGTCATCTGCATCAGTAACATCCATATCAGTACAGTCATCTGCATCAGTAAAACATCCATATCAGTACAGCCATCTGCATCAGTAAAACATCCATATCAGAACAGTAAAACATCCATATCAGTACAGCCATCTGCATCAGTAAAACATCCATATCAGAACAGTCAACTGCGTCAGTAACATCCATATCAGTACAGTAAAACATTCATATCAGTACAGTCATCTGCATCAGTAAAACATCCATATCAGTACAATCATCTGCATCAGTAAAACATCCATATCAGTACAGTCATCTGCATCAGTAACATCTATATCAGTACAGTCATCTGCATCAGTAAAACATCCATATCAGTACAGTCATCTGCATCAGTAAAACATCCATATCAGTACAGTCATCTGCATCAGTAAAACATCCATATCAGTACAGTCATCTGCATCAGTAACATCCATATCAGTACAGTCATCTGCATCAGTAACATCCATATCAGTACAGTCATCTGCGTCAGTAACATCCATATCAGTACAGTCATCTGCGTCAGTAACATCCATATCAGTACAGTCATCTGCATCAGTAACATCCATATCAGTACAGTCATCTGCGTCAGTAACAACCATATCAGTACAGTCATCTGCATCAGTAAAACATCCATATCATTACAGTCATCTTCGTCATTAAAACATCCATATCATTACAGTCATCTGCATCAGTAAAACATCCATATCAGTACAGTCATCTGCGTCAGTAACATCAATATCATTACAGTCATCTGCGTCAGTAACATCCATATCAGTACAGTCATCTGCATCAGTAACATCCATGTCAGTAACATCCATATCAGTACAGTCATCTGCATCAGTAACATCCATGTCAGTAACATCCATATCAGTACAGTCATCTGCGTCAGTAACATCCATATCAGTACAGTAAAACATCCATATCAGTACAGTCATCTGCGTCAGTAACATCCATGTCAGTACAGTAAAACATCCATATCAGTACAGTCATCTGCGTCAGTAACATCCATATCAGTACAGTAAAACATCCATGTCAGTACAGTCATCTGCGTCAGTAACATCCATATCAGTACAGTAAAACATCCATGTCAGTACAGTCATCTGCGTCAGTAGAACACCCTCACCAGTAAAAACAAGTGCACCTACTTCAAGGATTTGTAAGAACACCTGCATGAGTGGTAAGCCTTCATCTGTAGCACACATGCATCATTAGAAATATTGCTTAGGTACTTCAGTGAAGATTTATTTATTGCCAAGAGAATGGAAAGCTGCGTGTGAGACTGAGTGTGATGCACTGTCTAATCAAGTGACTTGTTACCCTCCAGGCACTCATTGCGAGACGGACATTGATGAGTGTGAGTTGGCCAGACCCTGCCAGAACAATGCCACCTGTGTCAACCTTGTCAACAACTTCAGGTGTGAATGTATGCCAGGATATACAGGTAGGATTGGCTAAAGCTGGCTGTGTTAGTGTGCAATCATACTCCGGACATGCAGGATGCTCATTTCATCGGTGTCCTTACTACTAAAATAAGTTAAGAATCACCTGATTCTTTCATATTACTACAGTACAATATTTATATTGGTGATTGGGTGATCCTTAACTTTTTTTTGGTTGTATAGTTTCTCTGCACTGAAGCTGGGCATATATTTATTATCCAGGCATACTAGATACAGCTTCAAATATTCCATTTCCCAAGGCAAGGGAGTTGACTGACTTTAAATGCCCAGTTTCCACCCTTGCCGAACTAGGCTGAAATTATGGAGTTATCTTTTGGCTGGACTAACAAGTCTATGCATAGTCCAATCAAAATCGCATAATGAAGTCGACGTTTGGTTTTTAAACTGCCCTGCAGATTTGGGTCGATTGCAGGTTTTACAAAGTCAACAGATAGTATCCAAATGTTTTCATTTTTTTAATCAAGGTGCTCACCTGATTTGATGCATTTTGTAAGATATGTTTTTTCATAATAAAGATTTTGATTATCGATCAGATCGTTTTGACTGGGTGTCGCCATTTTGTTTACACAATTGCAAGTGTAATGAGAGGTGGAATCTGATCGGTCAATAGGAGGGACATAGAAGGGACATAACTCGTAATAGCCACTGGTGGCGCTGTGATTGAGCCCATAAATTCCAGCCTAATTCGGCAAGGGTGGAAACTGGATTTTTCTAGTCAGTAAACACCCTGGCCTCAGGAAGATGCAACAATGCTGAGTAACATCAGGTTGTTATTGCATGATTTGACAGCTTCTGATTCTGTTAATTGCCTGTTTTATACTTTTGCCAGTCTACACATACCGGATATCAGAACTATATAGGACTTTAATGAAGACACTATCTCCACGATCAGTTGAACTTTTCCATTTTCACAAATACAGTTGATGTTTTACGAGTGCTTCACCTATTACTGTTCCTACCCTTCTCAAGGTATAGCCTGTAGCGTGGACATCGATGAGTGTGCTGGTTCACCCTGTGGTATGGGAAGCAGCTGTGTGGACCTCGTTAACAAATACAGGTGTGACTGTCGCCCAGGTATGACAGGTGAGTACATACACATTACTGTCTCTAAGGATTTTACTAGCTCGTCATTTTGAAATTAAGCTGAAAACAAAACACAAGTGACAAAGTTTTGTTATCTCTGCAGGTTTGAACTGTACAACAGACATCAAGGAATGTGAGTCCACACCTTGTCTTCATGGCGGTCAGTGCTCGGAGCCACAGATCGGCCAGTTCTCGTGTGTCTGTCCGAGTGGTGTGTCAGGGGCCACCTGTGAGATGGTCAATACGGCCAGCTTTGATGGTTTGAGTTATGTCCAACTGCAGCCTGACTTTTCGGTGACCGGGAGGCGTCGGCGCCGGAGGGAAGCGGTCAACGTGATAGGGATGAGGTTCACCTTTACGACAACTGTGCCCACTGGCCTCATCATGGTGGTGATGGGGGTGAGTCCAGCTTCTGTCCCACGGTCCGCAGTTTTATTTAATTTATGTATTTGTTGTTTAACGGTGCACTCAGTAATATTACAGCAATATGATGGCAACTTGTAAATAATCGATCTGGACCAGACCATCCAGTGATAGATATTATGAGCAGCGATCCATGTCAATGGGGCACTGTCAACCAAGTCACCAAGTCTGACCCCCGATCCATTAACTTGCCTTGTACAACCAACACTGGTTCTTGGGACCCTGTTCTAAGCCAGAATCCCAAAGGGGTCTCAATATTAGATGTAGAGGATATATGGCTAATCTTGTCAAAAAACATGTCTATATCTAAGGTGACCTGATAAATTTGTATTTTCATGACTGGTGTGACACATCCACAAGTATAACATAACAATGTCACAAGGTGAGGCTATCATGTGATTTCACAAGAAAAATCAAATGTTCTATTTATCCGGACAATCCTAGCTCTTCTCTCCATTTTTAAACTTTACACACTTTGTAACCTTATAACACTTTGAAACCTCCAAAGAAGATGAAGAACACCCGATTTCTTCACAAGAGTATGGTAAATCTGTCATGGCTGGTGGGTATTGCCACACACAACCTTCATGTTGTAGGTATTCTTGGAACTTGTTTTGAGATGTTTATGAAAAGTAATTTTCACGTCTGTCCTGAAATAAAACCTTCTCTAAACAATTGACCAGGCGGACCAAGAAGGTCGACCCCAACACTTCAGCCTGGAATTGTACCAAACTGCATTCTGGGTAACTGAGAATCGTGGTCTGGAGACGTCACAGAAGAGCATCCCGCTCGGCCAGGCCATCAGCGGCATCTACAGCCACACCGTGGACATCATCATCATGCCCAGCTTCACCAGCGTCACCCTGGACCCCAACAACTGCAACAACATACCTTCCTGCTACGTGTCCTTCACCTACAACCAGAGCATGGCCTTCACCTTTGAACGGCAGATGTACCTCGGAGGGATACCTAGCGTAACTCCATACATCCGCAGCAAACTCAAGACAGTTCAGGGATTTGCTGGTTGTCTGGGGGTAAGCACAGATGTGTTTTGTCTGAATGGGCTCCTGTCTACCAAGCGAGTTGACAGGCTTTGGCCGAGTTCTCATATGACGTGAATAGACGACACTAGACATAGCATTCGTCAGCAATAAATGACAGCAAAAAGTGTTCTACTTGAAGTTTGTTTATGAATTAAAATGGCCATAATTAACATCAGGAGAACAGTTTTTTATCATTTTAATCAGCCAAACATTCAAGGTGAAGAAGTGTCTTTTGAAATAATTTTGTAATTTAAGAAGAATATGTATGTGCACCAGTCTTTTACCAACAGAGGAGGGGTGTGTATATGACCCTCCCCTGTGATAATATTTTGCAAAAGCATTTTATATTTATCATAAAATATCCATTGATCATGCCCACCATAAATATGTTTCTTATTTTTTATGACGCTCCTCTAAAGACTTTCATATTCTTTAGTGACACCCCCCACACCAAACCCCACCCATTTAATTAATGTGCACCCCACGAGCACAGGTGTGGTGCTGACAAACCTAGAAACATAATTTGGGCAAACCAGGATTTAAAACCATGATCACAGGATTCAAAACCATGATCACAGGATTCTGGTTTGCCTAAGGGAGGAAACTCCTTAGATGACTGGTCTTGTCGTTGAATAAGATGTGTTTGAACCAGTACTGTTTTGTGGAGCATCTTGCAGTTGATCAGTGTGTTTTAATTCTGTTGGAAGCAGCATTCAACTTAATTGAACTAATATTAGTGGTCCCATTGAGTTTGTTATAACCGTAGTTTACTGTAGATCTTAACATTCACATATTTCTGATTGCTTCCAGAACCTGATGATCAACAGCAAGACCATGAGCCTGCTTCCCCCTGGGAACTCCTCCTCCTCCTCCTCCTCCCCCTCCCCTACCATCTCCAGCCAGTTCATGAAGCGCCCCACCCCGGGATGTTCGGCCCACGAGCCATGCAGCACCAACCTATGTCGCAACGGTGGGACCTGTGTTGATCTGTGGACCAGGAAGTACTGCCAGTGTCGGCCGGGATTTGCCGGGGAGACGTGCGAGTTCCAGAACATGGCGCACTTCTCTGCGGGCTCCATGCTGCACTACAGTGGCCTGGTGGAGATCAGGGAACTCTCCTTCTGGCTCAGCGCCACCAACTCTTCAGGGATGCTGCTGTACACTGTAAGACAATCCTAGCAGCATCACATGATTGGGGGGGGGGGGAGAGCAATGGTAATCTGATGAGGCTCTGAACAGGTCAGCTTGCTGGGGGGCAACTTTAACCAAAATGTTGAGTGTTCTTGTGCTGGAGGTGAAAAATGCAGACACTCCTAAATATGGAGTGCTTATGTGCTGTATAGGATTAATTTGCCCTAAATGTGGAGTGTTCTTGTGCTGGAGGTGACAAATGCAGACACTCCTAAATATGGAGTGCTTATGTGCTGTATAGGATTAATTTGCCCTAAATGTGGAGTGTTCTTGTGCTGGAGGTGACAAATGCAGACACTCCTAAATATGGAGTGCTTATGTGCTGCATAGGATTAATTTGCCCCAAATGTGGAGTGTTCTTGTGCTGTAGGTGACTAGTGCTGTCCCTAAATATGGAGTACTTATGTGCTGTATAGGATTAATTTGCCCCAAAAGGTTGAGTGTTTGTGTGCTGTAGGTGGCTAGTATTGCCCTGAATTCTAGAAGTCTTGAAATCACCTTGTGCTGAAGGCACATAATGTTCTGAAATTTTGAGTGTTGTTTGCTGTAGGTGATTAATGTTACTCCAAAATGTTGTGTGTATGCTATAGGTGACCAATGTTGTCCTGAAATCTTGAGTATTTGCTGAAGGTGACTAATGCAGGCCCTTAGTAAGGAGTGTTAGGTGCTATATGAGACTGATATTGCCCTACATGTCAGTTGTTTGTGTGCTGTAGGTGACTAATGATGCCCTGGCCATGATGATTGACCGTGGGCAGATCCGGCTGCACATTGTGTCTGGGAACACAGACACTGTCAGCCGAGTGGGCCAGAATGTGAACAATGGAGACTGGTACAAGGTCAGCCTTGTCCTCACTGGTGGGAGATACAGGATCCAAGGTAAGTGGCTGTCCAGAAATGGTTACCACTGTTAATGCTGACATTTACATTACTATTATTTTGTCAGGAACCTGTTGACACATTATCTTGTTTTGATGGCAGCTGCCCTGTATAAAGCTTTATTTGAATGACAATTAACTGCAATAAAGCTTCAACAATCTGTAATTTTTCATTTAATCAAATAAAGAATTTACATATTTGAAATGATATTATTTATTTACCATCTGTAACTACACAATCTGCAAGTACACTCACTCACGCACAATCGGCAACTACACTCTCTTATCATCTGTGTCTATTGCACTGATATTCCTCTTGGTCCTCTGTCAGTGTCGACGCCAGACACAGGTGTGTTTGGGTCAGGTAGCGGCACGGTCAGCAGCTACATCCTTGTCACCATGCCGCTGTTCATCGGGAAGCTGCATGACCACCCCGCCATCGACAAGTGGAGACTTAGACCCAGCAAACTACCCACCTTTGAGGGGTACGTGACAGTAGATCTAAACAATTAGTGTATTTGGTGTCAATTATAACCTGCTCCTAATAACCTTGAATACCACGTCAAGAAAACCAAAGCACCATCCCCATCCATCAGCAGAATAGTATGTAATATGGTGAAAAGAGTATGTAACATGAGCAAAATAGTTTTTAATGTCAGGAAAATAATATGTTATATGAGGAAAATAGTATTTCATGTCAGGAAAATAATATGTAATATGAGGAAAATAGTATGTAAAATGAGGAAAATAATATTAAATGTCAGGACAATAGATTGTAATATGAGAAAAATAGTATGTTATATGAGGAAAATAGTATTTCATTTCAGGAGAATAGTTTGTAATAAAAGGAAAATAGTATTTCATGTCAGGAAAATCAGTGAAAAAATCATGTTTAAATTGTTTTTCTTCATCATGTTTATCGGACCACCAACCAAATAATACCTGTAAACCAGGTGACAAGGAGGCCCTGTTCACACTGAGTGATATGACAGTAAAAAATATTTAACTGTGTATCTCGTCATAGTGCTTGTGGGGTCATGTATGAAGAAATCCATTTTTCTTGTCCAGGTTTGAAGGATGCCTGCGAGACCTGACAATCAACTACAACCCTATCGACCTCAAGTCCAATGTTGCTTCCATATTTGGCAACGATCCTCCTCCCCCCACCCCTGGATGTAGGCGGGAGGAAACGTGTAGCCCCTCCCCCTGCCAGAATGAGGGCATGTGTGTTTCAGGGTGGGAGGGGCACACCTGTCAGTGTCCGGCCAACTACCATGGACAGAATTGTACAGATGGTAGGTACAGCATGCTATGCCTGGTGACTACTTCAGCAAAATCAAAGTACCGTATTCGACGCAATAAGCGCCCATGGCGCTCTCAAAATTAGAAATAGGGGGCTCTTATAAGAATATTATTTTGGTAAAAAAAAGTTCAAAGATTGTGAATTTCATGGTTTGTGCTGACAGCCTGAAATGTTTATACGACAGATATATTTTTCCAGAATTTAATTGCCCTTAATTAAGGGTGCATATAACACACGAGTGCGTAATATACACTAATAAATAAGTCATGTGTACATTGATCAGTCGGAAGGGGTGCTAATTGGGATTGTTCACTAACCAACATATTAGCAAATATCGCTGTGGGCGCTTATTAGAGCGGGGCGCTTAATACGTCGAATACGGTATGCTTACGTCACTATTGAGGGGTCATGCAGATAATAAGGGATAAAAGTATTAAAAAATGGTGCATTTTCAGCTTACAAGAGTGCAGTTCAGTTGCATCTGTAATAAAGAGGGATGAGAATCTGCGGATCCGCAAATTTTAGTGACCACAAATTTGTTAAATCTGATGACTTCTCCCATACACCTCCCCAAATTATAGACCACACTGCATTGCAAAGATGTTCCAACTGAAAAGGAAAATATCCATTCTCATCCCTCAATAGACCATTTTATACCCACGCTGACTGTTACTTCTCATGTATTGCACGTGCAAGGGCTAAACCACTGATTGTGATGTTCTTCAACTGTTAATCATATTGTCAACCTACTCAGACCTATTGACACTTGTTGGCATATGTTCATGTATGTCACCCTGTATACCTACCGTATATCGCTGTGTATAAGGCGAGTTTTTCGTACCTAAAATGAGGGGGCTAAGAAGGGGGGTCGTCTTATACACGGAGTCGAAGATCTCACATTTTTTTCCACTGGCGATGTCAACCGGCGTCTGATAGCCAGCCCAGCATTTGACAATAAAACTTCGCATTTCGTACTAAATAACTGGGTAGGTGACACTTCAGTAATGGTTCTGGGTATTATTACTGTGGTCGGTATACTGTTATTTCTGAGCAGCCAGAATTCCAATACTTGTTGTCAAGTTGATAATGGTCAAGATGAACGCTACTGTTTTTCAAGGGTAAGTGAGTAGGATTTTGTGCCGAGTATAGCATTATTCAAGCCTTTCAATTCAAGGGCTTTCAAGAATGAACTTCACACATTGCAACCAAGTAGGGAATCGAACCTGGGTTTTCCATGTGACAGGCTAATACTTTAATCACTTAGCTACTCAACTGCCAGATATGGCTCAACTTTAGGATATGAGGTGAGGTAAGGTGAAATAGGGTTTAATGTCGCATTCGTGAAATAGGGTTTAATGTTGCATTCAAGATTATTGCATTTATATAGCAACATGCATGCAAGTGTGTGTCCGTGTGTGTGTCTATTTGTACTAGTCTGGACTAATGTCAGTTTTATAGTGCTAACCCACTGAGATACCCTGCTGCAGTTTAACATCGGTATCCCACTCAGACACAGTATACTGGCTTCCGAGCTGACCAGTCCTTGTTTAATCATTTTAATGCTTAGTGCCACAAAGGGTTACAAGAATTACCATTTTTTAACATTTATTCAATATAGTGCATCAAGTGAAATTACATTCTACAGACTGATTGGATACCAAGTTCTGTCACCATGACGATATGGTCTGTATGGGATAAGACTGTTTGAAGACAAGACAGTACTATGACTATGCTCTCTCTGCTCCAGTATCCTCGTCGACCTTCAATGGTAACGCCAGCTACATCCACGTCACCATCAACAGATCCATGTTTCCATTTGGAGATACAGGCAGCTTCGATTTCAAGACCAGACAGGCTACGGCCACGCTCGTCTACCATGAGCTCTTCTACAGCAATGGGCTGCTTAGCAACCTCATAGAGTACCGCACTTACAAGGAGAAACTCCAGATTAGTATCACAGGAACAGGCAGTGAGTTGATTGAAAAACTTACAACTTCATATAATTCTGAGTAAACTTCTATCCTAGATAAAATGGAAACATTCCAGTCAGCTCATTGAGTCAGCGTTGCAAAGCTTATGTACAGGAAAAAAATAAAATAATGAAATAAGTCAAGAGAAATTAGATTTTATTGTATAATGCAAGGTTTTCTGCCACATTTCTGTATATAATGTCCTGGAAGCAGCCACTTGTTACTCATATTGACTCCCCGTTGCGTTGGATAATTTGCTGTATTGACTTGAGTCGCTGTACCTGAAAGTGGTATTCTCCAAACCTAAGCCTCCGACTTCGTCCTCAGTCAGTGTTGTGTTTTGTCCATAAAAACAGGTATTGACCTCATATATAGTCTGTATTTGTATTTTATAGCACTTGAATGTTTTAGGCTGACACTGTTATTTCATTGCACGCCTCAGTACAACTGGAAATCATTGTTTAAAATAGTGAGTGAGTGAGTGAGTATGGTTTTACGCCGCTTTTAGCAATATTCGAGCAATATCACGGCGGGGGACACCAGAAATGGGCTTCACACATTGTACCCATATCGGGAATCGAACCCGGGTCTTCGGCGTGACGAGCGAAAGCTTTAACCACTAGGCTACCCGACCGCCCCCAGTGTTTAAAATATAAAAGATGCCAGGCTGCCATCAGGACCCACAGACTTTAGATGCTGGAGGCACTGACTGAACTCTTGAGGCTCCCATTTAAAAAACTGAAGCTTATTGTGATAAATGTACATGTAAACTTACTGCAGGCCATAAGGACCCATACAAATTTGAAACTATGGGCCCGACACAAGATCTCCCTGCTACGGGCCTATGGGCAGGCGCTTATTTCGAACACTGCTTGTAGTTATTGGAAACATTGGGAATGTAGAGAATATTTGAGTCAAACGGTTGACATAAGACCAAAGTGCTGGTAAGGATTCTGTTGGGACCAACAAGTTACATCTTCATAAATGGTGGCACGTGGTCCTGTGTTCAGTGCACAGATCACAATTCAGGCGAAGCTATTCAATGTTGTCATGGAGAGTAGTTGGATGGGTGACTCGACCTTCTAGCGCCTCACAGCTAGCTTGGGTTGTATACTCCCCAGGGAGCTGAGAATCAAAATCAGGTGCACACTGATCCATTCACCAGGGTAGTATTGTAGCCTTTTCAGTATGCTTTAGGGTGTGGATTTCAATTACATTTTCTTTTTTCAGGATTTTCAGAACCTGTGACGTTTTCCACTACTGTTGCTGATGGCAGCTGGCACAGCGTGTATTGGCGAAGACAAGACAACCAGCTGAGGATTACTATGGATACGGAGACAAGGATGATACAGACCAACTTTAACCCGTACGACAACAGGCTTAACACCACTATCATGCTGTACCTGGGAGCCAAGCCGTTCAGACCAGGTGAGGTACACTGGCCTACAGGGTTAACATCAGTATCATGCTGTACCTGGGAGCCAAGCCGTTCAGACCAGGTGAGGTACACTGGCCTACAGGCTTAACACCACTATCATGCTGTACCTGGGAGCCAAGCCGTTCAGACCAGGTGAGGTACACTGGCCTACAGGATTAACACCACTATCATGGTGTACCTGGGAGCCAAGCCGTTCAGACCAGGTGAGGTACACTGGCCTACAGGGTTAACACCAGTATCATGCTGTACCTGGGAGCCAAGCCGTTCAGACCAGGTGAGGTACACTGGCCTACAGGATTAACACCACTGTCATGGTGTACCTGGGAGCCAAGCTGTTCAGACCAGATGAGGTACTCTGGCCTACAGGGTTAACACCTCTATCATGGTGTACCTGGGAGCCAAGCTGTTCAGACCAGGTGAGGTACTCTGGCCTACAGGGTTAACACCTCTATCATGGTGTACCTGGGAGCCAAGCTGTTCAGACCAGGTGAGGTACTCTGGCCTACAGGGAGCCAAGCCGTTCAGACCAGGTGAGGTACACTGGCCTACAGGGTTAACACCAGTATCATGGTGTACCTTGGAGCCAAGCCGATCAGACCAGGTCAGGCATCGCCCGCTGGCCTACAGGGTTACACGTCATCAGGTTACATACACACTTCACATTGTGAAGAGTTTGTGACCTTGTTCAGGTCAAAAGTACAGGTAAGCACCTGATTGGTGTTAAGATGGCTTGTGGTTAAGTACAGAGGCCAAAATGTCCGTTCAAGATCATACATTAATTAGCTTTCTCTTTCCCTTCAGCTGCATTACTATCACAACTCTCCTAAGCCAGTCTATCACAGCAGGCTTTCATTAGCGCATTTGTATGCAAACGGGCGGAAAGTCTGGTCACGTGATAAGCTTGTGGCAGTGGTATAAAGCCAAGTCATCATTGCTCCTGAGTGTGTTCAATTAGTTAGCTTTATTAAATTGTTGACATGTTCTAAGTTGCTCCTAAACAAAGGGAGATAACTCTTACCATCTATATTGTGCACCCTAGCTCCTGAGTGTTCAATTACTTAGCTTTATTAAATTGTTGACATGTTCTAAGTTGCTCCTTAACAAAGGGAGATAACTCTTACCATCTATATTGTGCACCCTAGTTCGATTAACACAATAACATTACCTACCAGAATTGATTAGTTTTTGTGCACTGCACTTAGTGTCCTCATCCCAGCCCACAGAGTATCATTATTAAAACTATATTGTTCCAGGTGATTCCAGTTATCTGATTGGCTACTTCAAGGGTTGTTTACGTAATGTGACCTTCAACAACCAATACCTGAACTACCTGCCAAGCCACGCCCCTCAGCCCGGAGTGGTGGCCAGGAACAACAGTGTACAAGTTGGTTGCCATGGTGACGACGTCTGCCACATCAGCCCCTGCTCTGCGAACTCCTACTGTAAAGATAAATGGAACGATTACTCCTGCCTGTGCATGGAAGGCTGGGAGGGAGAGAACTGTCTTCAGAGTTCGGATGATTGTCAAGGTCAGATGTGTCAGAATGGTGCCACATGCATCGATGGTCACAAACAGTTCACATGCGCATGTCCGCCTGGGTTTACAGGGCAGTTGTGTGAATCGAGTTACCACCCCTGTAACTCTAATCCCTGCTCCCCAACCAACACAGAACAGTGCCTGTCTACCACGCTCATCGACTACGAGTGCAAGTGTAAGTCGGGATGGACAGGCAAGAATTGTACCGAGAATATAGACGAGTGTCAAGGCAATCCTTGTCAGAATGAGGCTACATGCCTGGATCTTATCAATAGTTACAAATGTGAATGCCCCAATGACTACTTTGGTGACAATTGTGAGTACAAGTATGTTTGCTCATCCAAGCGGTGTTTCAATGGAGGCCGATGTGTTTCCAGCGATGACAACACAAACTACACCTGCATGTGTGACGAGAGATACATCGGCCGCAACTGTGAGACGTTCAACTACTGCTACAGCCACCAATGTAGCCCCAACTCCACCTGCGTCCAGAGCAACACCGCTTATGCCTGTAACTGTAGTTCAGGCTTCTATGGTGCTTATTGTCAGTTCCGTGATTACTGTGAAAGCCAGCCGTGTGTGAATGGTGGCGAATGTCGTAACGACAAAGATGGATTCCGATGCCAGTGTTCGTTTTTCTACACTGGAAACCAATGTGAAACTGCTGTGAACCAGTGTAAGTTCAACCCGTGTTATAATGGTGCTACGTGTTTCTTCAACGAAAGTTCTCCCGATCAGAAATACACATGCCTGTGTCACAATGGCCATACCGGACAGCATTGTGAGACTGACATCGATGAATGTGCGGACAACCCGTGTCAGAGCGGCGGAACATGTCGACAGAGCTCGACTGACACTTCAGTGCCGTTTTACCCTGGGTTCAAGTGTGCTTGCAAATCAGGGTTTAGTGGACTTCGATGTGAAAATGACACTAACGAGTGCGACAGCCAGCCGTGTAGACATGGTGGAGTGTGTGAAGACTACATCGACGGGTATCGATGTGTCTGCTCCAAGGGCTTCCTAGGTATCAACTGTGAATATGACTATCGAGGGTGCAGCTCGTCTCCGTGCCAAAACAATGGCCGATGTGCCGAAAATGAGGACAAATCGTATAAATGTGAATGCCCATCCGGCTTCAATGGAACATACTGTGAAATAGATATAAATGAGTGTGAGTCACACGTGTGTAAAAATGGGGCGAGTTGTGTTGACCTTATTACCCGATATGAATGTCAGTGTCTTCCAGGGTATACAGGGACATTCTGTGACAATATTGCCGATTCGTGCTTCAGTCAGCCCTGTTTTAACGCAGGGAGATGCCGCTATCAGGGTTTGTGTAGCTGCTCTGACGTCATCAGCCACTGCGGCTGGCACAACGAAACATGTCAGGCTCAGTCTTGTTTCAACAGACCAGGATGTACAACACACTCTGTTTCGTATCTCTGCGACTGTGAGGGGACCGGCTTCAAGGGGCCGCAGTGTACGGAGGATGAGGATGAGTGCGCTATAGTGGGCAAGTGTCAACACGGTGGAGTGTGCGACAACACGGTTGGAGGCTTCACGTGTGACTGTGCAGGAAAGGGATTCACTGGCGACAGGTGTCAGATTGACATCAATGAATGTAACGGAACCAACCCTTGCTATAATGGAGGTAAGATTTGTTGTAGAAATGTACTACTGCATAATTAAAACATGACATAATTTGTTCTCTTGATTAGAAGAAATTATTGCAAAAGTTACATTACAAATTCAGATTCTCTGATTGAAAAATGTTAATAATAAAATACACTGGGCCCAGACATGGCAGTTGTTTCCCTTAGACATGTCAGGATGTACTGGTCACTGACTTAGTGTTTGGTCTGTCAGCACAATGTCCATGTTCATTTTTACGAAAGTAGTAAAGACTTCGATGAATTCGTGTTTAACTCCAATATAACTGATATACTGTACAAGTCTCAGTCTCCAATAATTAAACAGGGGCAGCAGGGTAGCTTAGTGGTTAGAGCATTTGCTCATCACGCTGAAGGTCCATGGTTGGTTCCCCCACATAGATAAAAATGTGTGAATCCCAAAGTTCTTGTGAACACCCTATCTCAATTACATCATGAACTTACCATAAATTCAACAGACGTCCTCTTCACTGCCAACTTATCTTACTAGTTTTGGGGTAAACACTATCATCAGGCTATTGCAACTGCACATGCGCAAGGTGGGAAAACCTCACTTTTCTTGTGTGTGCTGAGTAAAAGCTAAAAGCAGAGTAAAACCTAACTCACTCACTCACTCTAATAAATAATATGGCTCATACTATTTGTTTCCTGAATTTGTTGATACATATTGACTCAGCTGTGCTCCATTCCAGGGCTTTGTGTGAACTCTGTCGGAGCATTCAGCTGTACCTGCCCTGCGGGATGGACCGGGCCAACATGTGGTCAAAACATTGATGACTGTGAAACCAAGCCGTGTCAGAACAGGGGGCAATGCATAGACCTCATGAACAACTATGTCTGCATCTGCAGTGGCACAGGTTTCCATGGTGACAGGTGCCAAAATAACACCGACGACTGTGGCGGCCATGTTTGTCAAAATGGCGGCCGGTGCATGGATGGAGTGAAAACATACACATGCAACTGTACAGGAACTGGGTACACTGGCGCCCTCTGTCAGACCAAGGAGAAACCATGCAAGAGTGGTCCATGCATGAATAACGGAACGTGCAACGATGTGGCGGAAACATTCACATGTGACTGTGCTGGCACTGGGTACAGCGGGACTATTTGCCAGGTGGATGTAGATGAATGTGTGATGGGGTCACACAGTTGTAGTGAAGGGTCTAGCTGCCTCAATGTCCGGGGGGACTACAACTGCAGCTGTGCAGCTGGGAAAGGTGGTAAGTGGGCGATAACAGGATTTTTTACCTGTCGATTGAACATAGTTTTATAAACCACTTTAAAGTGGAAGTCACGTGGCACACTATGAATTAACCTCTGAGCTCAATTGAACAGCTGTTTTCTCTCTGTCGTGGACTTGGGTTTGCTTGAGTGGACTAGGGTGGATTTGGGTGGACTTGGGTTGGCTTGGGTGGACTTGGGTTGGCTTTGGTTGGCTTTGGTGGACTTGGGTTGGCTTGAGTAGACTTGGGTGGACTTGAGTGGGCTTGGGTGGACTTGGGTGGACTTCCTTTAATGAGTGTTAATTTGATATGAGGGTGAGATTCTAATTATCAGTTTTTAAACAGTAATAACCAGTCTCTTGAGTGTGAAAGATACAGTAACAAGCTTCAGTGGCAGAGATAGGTGATGTCATTTGATTGTGACATCATGGTAACTGATAACATCACAATGGTCTGCAAAACATTGAGATACAATTTCATTGTCGTGATATCTCCTTGGACCTCACCCCACTTGACCTCACCCAAGTGATATATCCTGTGGGAGCCAGTTTTGGTTCATAAATTCAGATATTCACTGTAACACTGTTCTTGCAATTGAAAATGGAATATTTATCTAGGTACTTATGACACTGGGGTATTTTGTTGTTTGTGTGAAGAGAGTTTGATGTGACCGAATTAGCTACGTAAACTTCGTTAATCTTCATCGAATTCCGGAAGTTTGCAATTTTTAGATTATACATTTCCTTACTATGTTTCATAATTTTCACTTAACTTCCTCGTAATTATAATTCCATGTTAAGTCAAGTCCTCTTTTTATAATAAAATAATGTCTTATTGTAAACTATCTTTGCGACATATGTCATGAGATACGGCACATGCACCAAGCCTCTAGCGAAGCAGGCAGCAGACAACAATCGCTCTCGTGCATTTACTTTTCTTCTCAATAACCAACTGCAAATCAACTTCAGCGGTGACTGATGTGACTTCGGACCGATAGTCCCAACTATCGAATGGCTCACCTGGGGCTTTTTCCTTATTGTCTACGTTGGAATGGAAATAAACATGAATTGACTTCACTCAACCTCGTGTCATAATTACCATCCCACATTTGCATGGCAACAGGTATGTAATGATTGTGTAAAAGTTATGTGTACATTTCCTGATTTAGAATTATGTTGGTATTTCAGGTCGTTTCTGTGAGGCAGCTGTAGCGCTTCCGGTGAGCGGTGATGTTTCTGGTGGTAACGAGGGAGTTGTTGCAGCGTGCGTGGTGATATTGCTGTTATTGGTGGCTGCAGCGTTGCTGTATGCGGCATGGTACACAAAACGCAGTCGCAAGATACAGGGAAGGTACAAGCCAGCCAAGGTCGAACAGAGGTCAAGTGCAGAGATTCCCATGGAGAAAATGATTGACCCCACAAATGGTGAGAGACTCATATGATTAAAGAGAGGAGAGAGACACATTTGAGGAAAATGGGGAGACCATAATAAAAGACATGATGAGAGACTTGTATGAGACAAATCGAAAAGGGTCAGGACTTCAGTGAGACATGGAGAAAGACTTGTATGAGACAAATGGAGAGAGAGTGATATGAGACACCAGAAACAAGACTTGAATTTAGACAGATAGAGAGAGATCTTTATGAGACAAATGGAGAGAGAGAGTCATATAAGACTTGAATTAGACAGACAGAGAGTGATGTCTATGAGACATAGATACTTGTATGATACAAATGGAAAGGAATCATATGAGACAACAGGAGAGAGACTTGAATTCAGACAGACGGAGAGACTATTATCAAACAATTGGAGAGAGTCATATGAGTCAGGTGAGAGAGACTTCTATGAGACAACTGAGATGGACCTCCATGTCTGAGGAGTTCCAGCTGGAACTAGGACACTGCCATGATAGAAGTCGGACGTCCAGTTGGATAGATAACTTCTAGTTACCATTGTGAGAATGTGACAAGGAAGAATATTTAAGGCTCATTCCTCCTTCTTGTTCCCTCCACAATGTGATTACAATGACTTGTGAATCTCACTGAATTTTACTCACGACTGATGAGTGATGTAGTGACTAACAGAACCCTTGTTTAATGTACCAAGGCCACATGTCCTGCACAAGGAGTGACTCATGATCAGGGACCTGGCTTGCTGCCAGTGGCCTACATAGTTCCACCACTGTCTTGAATCTTCAAGCATTGAACATATCATTTGCACATTTCATTCATACAAGTTTGACCTTGACCTATACTTCACCTTGAATGCTCTAGAGGTTGTGTGATGACCTTGACCTTGAGTGTTCTGTAGATCTTGTCCAAGTGGTTATCAGGGCATGCTTAGTGACCTTGACCTTAAGTGCTCTGCTGATGTTATGCAGGTGATATCTAAATATTTCTGGTTACCAGTTGCTGTCTCTTATGGAAACCAGCTTATTCCATAGTCACCCTGGGATAAAGACTAATCATAATGAAATAGGAGATAGAGATTAATAGCAATTATCAAAAGTAGGGGCTTTGCTGTTGCTAGGCAGTGTGCTAATTGCTATTTGAAAGAAAAGCTTTGAATATAATTTTAGGTTATTAGCCATTCAAGCATTTTAAACTGGCTTTATCTTTTCTGCCAAATGCTATGTTTCACCCCAATGATAAGAAATGAATTTACCATATTCAATGCATTAAGCGCCCTGCTCCAATAAGCACATGCAGGCCAACTGCTTGATCAATCATTAAGTAATCTGTATAGGCGCTCTCGTATAGGATCAAACAAATTGACATGATTTACATATTTTCTTGTGTATATTACACTTTTGTCACTGAAAACAGTGCAGGAGGGGATATATAACTGCCAAGTGACAGTTATCGAAAACGTTTTGGTTTAATCGACGTTTGAACTTAGTTTGTTCTCTACTGCTTGATCACTGAAAACACATTTAACTCTTTGTGTATGGTTTTAATAAGTGCTTCCCTTTGCCCGGGGCACTTATTACAGCGAATAAGGTATTTAATAATTGTGAAATCTTGGTGAAAGTAGGCTCATCGGCACATGTGCAATATTGCAGTTATCAGTTGCCGACTGTCTGCAACTTCCAACATGTACCAGGTACTACATTGTGATAGAATGCTAGAAACTAGTACTACATGTAGAGGTAAAATGTATCTGATCTGTATAAATTCTGTCAGTATTACACAGACTTGGGGTGGGTGATCCGGAGATTTATCACACGTTGTTTTATTGCATCATAAGTAGTGCTCTACTAGTCATACACTTAACAGTATTTTCTAAACTGTTTTATTGTAGATAATATTATATACATCGCAAGTCATTATTTTTGTGCCAAATGTAAAAATTTTCATTATCTAGAATACCTAAATCCTTTATCATATAAACAAAATACTCTTCTGCATTGTCAGAATAATCTGTCTTCCGTCATACATTAATTTAGTGTTCAAGACCTAAAGATTTCTTTGTATATACCATGGATTAGTGGGTCTGATTACCTTAAATTGAAAATAAAATGGTTGAAATTGATTCAGATTATCAGATTTATTGGTTATTATTTATTTTGAAATGGAAACGTTAATAATTTTTCATCCCCGAAATGAAATGTTTGATACACATTTTTCGATGTAAAGAAGTTTTATGTGATCCACTGAAAAAAAGAATCTGTAATGAGAGAAATTAACAGTCTCATTAAAATCAGATCTTACTGCTCGCTCTGGCTACACACAGATTTGTGGACATGCCATTATAGGTCATGTCAGAACGACCGTCTGACTGACCAATCAGAGCATCACTTACGAGATCACGTAGTGAAAATCTGAATGTGATTCCATCAAAACCGTCTATCTCTTGCTTCAATCAGATAAATATTTGAAACAGAGACATTCAATAGCCCATACTGCCACACGATCTCAGCCATCTATTACATTCAAGAAATTTCTCTTGTTCAGTTTTAAATTTTTTAATCAAGACCTTGTCAAAATATTTTTCATGACATTGTCTGGAATGGAAGTTGCCAGTTTGAAACTAGTGTCAGAAAGCTCAAGAAAGCTGCTTTCTGATTGGTTAATGGCAATTTCTTGTTCGTCATTTCATTGGTTGGTCAAAGTTTGCAAAAGGTGTTCTGATGTGACCTGTAATGGGATGTGTAGCGGTAGCAAGCTGACGATCTGTTTTTAATGAGATTGGAAAATAAACAACCAGAAGAAAATCAGACTCAAATCATCCATATGATGTCTCAGTTGTTTATTGTTCATATACATCAGTAGATGTTCAATTGTCACGTAACCATGGCAATTACATGTTTATTACCCATGGACAACCAGTTATCAATGGCATAGTCGTTTGATACGACTCATATCATAACATGTTGCCTTCCTATTTTCCATGGTGAATTTATCACTAATTGGTCAAGTATATCACTGATTGGTCATGTATAACTATGATTGGTCAAGTATATCAATGATTGGTCAAGTATATCACTGATTGGTCTAATATATGAATGATTGATCAAGTATATCAATGATTGGTCAGCGTGCTGGGCAGACAAGAATTTCATTCCACTGATCTCAGTTGAACCAGAATATTTATTTTCTTGTTTTTTTAATGATTTTTTATTTTATTGATCTTTAATAGTCTGTGTTTGTTCCCAAACAGTTTAATAGCTATATTTACAAAGTTAATTGATTGTGTACTCAATAATTCTCCATGAATTCAGCAAGTCTTGTGTTGATTAATATTAGTTTTAGGGATAAACCAGTTTTGGTGAAATTACTTTATATTTTCCACAGTGATATGTTTTGAGGAGTCCCTGGTCAGGTGATAGTTATTACAGAATTGAAGCATAAAGCGATACATGGGTAGTCATATGAATATCAACAGGTGGAAATGTGTGATCCATCAATACACAATGAACCTTGACAGCCCTTGACATGGAGAGTAGGGAATATCTTTGCCCAGTAACTGTTCACAGGTAATTCAGACAACATTTTGAACAGATCACAGGTAATTTTTCCACCCATTTCACAATCACAGATAATTATCATGTAAATTAGTTCATATCTTATAGAGATAAGGAATAATTCGTTTTTTCTTATCAATCTGATCGGGACCCAAACCATAACATTATTAAGTTTATGTTTTTGCATGTGTAATCTTGAACTGCATCTCATACTGTCGTTAAATATAAACTTGGTGACAACTTGTCAGACAGACCCCAACTGTCCGCCAAATTTACTGCATGGTATTTCTGGTTTCGACATAAAAGATGATAATAAATAATATAAATTCAAAAGAGAGAAAAACATTAAATATCGAATCATGACAAATAAAAGGAGCCAATAACTTATATCAAAATAAGTATTCCCTACCCGCTAATATACGTGCATACAATAGGTTCATACCATAAGCAAACCTATGATTGTGGGTTCGAATCCCGGTTCGCCGCGATTATGTTTCTAGGTTTGTCAGCATCATACCCGTGCTCGTGGGTTTCACCGAAGTGGTAAACGTCTGAGACATGCATCACTTCGAGCTTTCCTTCCACATTTAGCTGACATGCCGTGATATAACTGGAATACTGTTAAAAGCGGTGTCAAACCAAACTCACTCACTCACTCATACCATAAGCCTCCCATCAGATATTAATATTCTGCTATGTTTCCTTCATTACAAAACTGATGTAATAGCTCTTCTCTGATATTATGAAATACTCCTCCAAAGAAGTTAAAGAACAGACGCTTTTTTCCATATGACTATAGTCAATCTGTTATGTCATGACATTGTCATATAAGAAAATCAGTTGTTCTAACTTCTTTTTCATAGTTGACATAGAGAATCACACCCAAGTGTTTTGTATATAAAATATATCAACACGAGTCAATAAAATTTTGAAGCTTCAGGAATCGCTGAGTAGTTTTTAACTTACATCGATGAGTGTTGATATATTTGGTGTAAAAAGAAACGAGGGTGAGATTCTATTGATCCTTCAACTGAAATAACCAGTGTCTTGCAATGATAAGGTTCAGAAAACCTGGTTTAGTGCTGTCGTTTGATTGGGACGTCATGGTAACCGATGACGTCACAATGATCTGCAAAGCAATTTCACCCAAGCGATATCTCCTGTTTATGTTCATTTGGGCCATCAACACAGTAAGTATTCTGGTTCAACACTATGCACCATTGTCTGTTACTGGTTTTCTTTTGTATGTAACCATTTGTCATATCATTATGTCATACCATTATGTCATATCATTATGTCATATCATGATATCACCCTAGCCTAAACGTCCTGTAATAATTAAATGAAACTGACAACCATTAATGACAATTGGACAATCATTTACAAAATAACATATATTTTATGATGACATTTTAAATTATCAAGAATAATAATGAGGTAAATTTCATATCATGAACTGAATATTTCATCAAGTAGATTTTCACCAGTGTTAACTTAGCTCTACTTCTTTCAGTTTTCGTTGATAATTTTTTAGATTTAAGAACTTCCATATAAACAGGTTACCTAGCAACCTTTATTCCAATAGCCAAATATCCCCTGATGTTTTCAAGTGTGTTCATTGTTAAGACTATCTGCTCACAACTACTGTTAACATACAATGGTATATTTTTATACAGTAAGTGTTTACAATTTTCAAATCTCTTCAGTGTTGTGTGTTGTCCAAAGTGTCATTTTTTCAAGTGCAATGGAATTTTTTATAGGTAGGTATTATGTACAAGTTGTGTGTACACATGATTTCTGCCTTTCTAAAAGGTTTGTTTTGAAGATAACATGATTTGTTATCATTCCTTGTCAATGAAATTGAAGCAAAACAGTACGTTCTGTCTGTTGGCCTTGTTACCTTGTTTATGAGCTCTATGTATATGTAGAAGCTTTCTTGTATATGTCAATCAGGTGAAGTCAGGGAGGTTGTCTATAAAGTTGAATTTCCTGTTTCCTGCTTACTAACCGTCAGTACTTCTGGGTTTGTATTCAGTTCCACCATCATCCAGAACTGGGCCCCGTTCCACAAAGCGATCTTAGTGCTACGTTGATCATAAGCCTATGATAAAGTATGGGAGTTACGACCAACTTTAGCACTAAGATCACTTTGTGGAACGAGTTCCAGGTCCCTTGGGACCTTTGATGGTTGTAAAAGACGACCAAATGGATCGCGTGGTCGTCTCTCTGACTTGGTTCATAGCGTGTCCTCGTACATTGACAGCATAGATCATTGCTAACAATTATTACTAGATTGTCTGGGCTTAATTATCTACAGATTGCAGCAATATAGCTGGAATATAGCTGAGTGTGGCGTTAAACTATCAACTAACAAACAAACTAAGAATACTAGTACATATAGCCACTATTGCAGTCGCTATTTTTAACAAACGAATCAAGCGAGGGCCTGGTTCCAGTGAAAGGGAAACTAGCGAGTCCTGATCAACAAGGACTGAGATTGCATTGGCAATATTTCTTGTGGCACATGTGCCCTAGTCTTGCTGTCATCTACTGTACGCATTTGACTTTGTGAGTTGTACATGGCCTCATTTCATTACCTGACCATAATACGTGTGTAGATCTGGGTTAGAATTGGTCTCAGCATCCCATGCTTGTCGCAAGAAGTGACCAATGGGATCAGGTGGTCAGGATCGCTGACTTAGTTGATGCATTTCATCGTATCCGAATGCGTTGATTGATGCTCATGATGTCAATCACCAGATTGTCTGGTCCAGATTCAATTATTTACAGACCGCCATCATATAGCTGAAATATTGCTGAGTGCAGCGTTAAAAATAAATAAATAACAAACAACCCTGACTGCAAATAGACACACATAACAGATGTATGTATTCACGGAAATGGAGGAATGTAGTGTATACAAACCCCGGAAGCATTGACGATGATGCTTATTGTGAGCAAGTTATGAGCAAGTGTATATTATAGCAACACAGTTATTGTACATTTATTATGTCAATCAGATATTCACTTATCTACTCAGTATGGTTATATTTGATTGCCTTGTTTTTTGGCAATTTGAATTCTTATTTTTGTAAAATTGGCTTGCTTTATTGAACAAAAATAGATAAATACTGTATTGAAAGTATGTTTAGCTGAATGTTTATTTGCAATTATGTTAAATCTCAAATTCAACAAGCATTAAAGATGAAATTTTTGGGAAGATTTATGTTTTCTTTTAGTAAATGATATAATCAGTTTTATAGACATATTTAAAAAAAAAATATTTAAGCTTTTCTGTGCAAGGAAGGACAACTCTGTGTATAGGGAAAGACAACTCTTGACAGCCTCTCTGAGACAGCGAGAACTTTTTGTTGTTTTTAAGTGTGACAGATATCAACACTTATCTGTTCCTTGACTTGTTTTTATTGGTGTTTATATTGCTTCTAGTGTTTATGATGTTATAACAAGTTATTTTACAAGTATTTGATATAGCTCTTTCGTGCTCACTTTGTGAAACTCTTTCACAGTTAGGTTCAATTTCAATTTCTATGTATAACAATAAGGAATTATTTGGAAAACTAACAAATAAACATGTAATTCTTGTGTTTGGCTTTAAATTAAATAATCTGGGAAGTATTTGTGTTTGTAATACAGATGAGGAACAATATGCCATGCATAATTTTCATGTCTTGAAATATAAAATTAAATCAAATTTATGTACACAGAGTATTGATTGTTGGATCAGTAATTGATGACTAAGCTAAGTGTGCATTAGCAGGAGTGCATATTATCAGATATTCATCTCAGCGTTTTACTTAAAGCAAACCATTTTTGTAGCTTTCTGAAAGTGAATAATATCAGCAGACATGGAATTGTGGCCTAGCAGAGTACAAAGCAAGTATTCTCCATACAAAAGTTTGCCATATCAATAGAATTAGACTTTAAAAGTGTAAGCTATATAATTAATTGCTGATTAGTAAATTAACAGATAATGAACTGTGTTCATGAGTATCTGATGATGTGTTCATGAAGGCAGTACTGAGCTTGATGTTTAAGGCTTGAGTGTCGTACTCGGTGCACCTGACCTGATGCCATCACCAGTCAGGGACCAGTCATTTCATGTTATTATGGGGGGATGTGGGATTTAAAAAATATATATTATAGAAAATACTTGAAAATACTTCAGAGAAAAAAATGTATGTCTTGATTGACTGAAACATGTTCTGCCATCAACAAAAGTTACAGGCTCCGGCAGAATATCAAATTGCCGGTCCCTCAACTGGCTGTCCCTCGCAGAATTTCCCCTAGTTGCAAATGATAAAATTGCACAAAACAAGTCATTTTACAGTTAAATATTCCAGTTACGTTTACAACTATAAAAACCCTTTGCAGACTACATGGAACTCATCAATTCAAACTCTCCAGAATTCCATTTTATTAAAAAAGAAATGTGTAATTTGCATAATGTTACATTTCATGGTCAAAATTTTTATGCTAATTTCCCCATTTTCAGATAAATTTCTTTTTGAATTGATTTATAATGAGAGGACAGCCATCTTGTTACCGTGGTTACCTAATATGAATATGGCAGCCATCTTGGGTGGCCCGAGTACATTTCTGTTAGTTCTTGATTGTTGGTTGCTGTTGGTGTGATGTTGTTTTAATGGTGACATGCTTTAACTGTACCAACAACAAATTACAAATAAATCATTTGGTAAACAAACTTCGAGTTGCTTGTTTTCTTACCACATGTGCGCTTTGATTCTCTTTCATTTGGAATCTTGATCTATTAAAGAAATTGCAAAATGATTGCTTATGGGAAGAAAGTGATGCAGTGGTAGCAGTGAAGTGATCATAGGTATTGTGTGTTCAGTCAGTTGAGTTGAAATGGGATGAAACATCGCTTCACGATTATTGCAACTATGGCGATGTGGTTGCATGTGTGTGGCTGCTTGTACTTGTCGACTAATAACGGTTTTATGGTGCTAGCCCATCGAGATACCATTGCCTGAGTTTAAGATGGTTTGTTTGTTTGTTATTTAATGCAGTACTCAGCAATATTCCAGCTATGACGCTGGTCTGTCTGGACCAGACAATCCAGTGATTGGTATCATGAGCATCGATCCATGCAATTGGGATACATCAACCAAGTCAGTGAGCCTGACCACCCGATCTTGTTAGTCGCCTCTTACGTCCAGAGTTTTAACATGGATACCCAGTCAGATACAGGACACTGACCCTGAGCCGACTGGTCAATGTTTTATCGAGTGCCATACATCTTTTTGTATGACAGAGCTGGGTGATTGAACAACTGACCTTCCACTCTCCAGGCAGGCACTCTGTCCACTAAACCACAGGGGCAGTCATTTGTCCTAATGAGTGCAAGACTCAAGCCCTTAAAATCAAGGACTTTGTCTAAAGTAAGTCAAAAACTGATTAATATGCTGCTGGATGGTACATTTAGCCATCTCAGTAGAGTAATTATGAGAAGAAATCTGAGAGCAGTGGTTCACATCTTTGGGACTGGGGAAAGGAAAGACAAAATGGTGACTGTAATTAAAATAATTCTTTGGAATGTGCACCGATACAGCATAAATCCTAAGGCCTAGATTCATCTGTGTTCAATGAGTTCGGATCTGACATTGTTTTCATGGGTTTGTCATTTAACGCTGTACTTAGCTACATGAATATGACATCAGTCTGTAAATACTCACGACAGGACAAGATGTTCCAGTGATTGACATCATGAGCATCAATCTGTGCATTTGGGATACGATGACATTCATCAACCAAGTCCATGAGCCTCACCACCCGATCCTCTTAGTTGCTTCTTTTGACAGGCATTGGTTGCTGAAGGCCAATTCTAACCCGGATCTTCATGGGTAAACATTGTTTTTGAATGCTTATGCTACATAAATACAAAGCAACACGATAGTCTGCATAAAATTTATTACATTTGAAAGAAGACCGACACAGAACTACTGTTAGTAATGTGAAATATTTAACTGATATTTACAAGGTTTATTAAAGTTATGTACATTTTCATACTGCTCCTAAACTGAATAAAATCATTCTAATCTTACACTAGCAGATGTCTTTTCTGGAAAATTAAGTAATATGTACTAAATTGAACAGTTTGAATTATTCTTAATCTATTTGAATCCATGACCTTTCGTCAATATCAAGAACAACCTTGTCACACCTTATATGGGAAATGGATATCATTTCATGAACAGTATGAAGCCGTCACAGCAACTTCTAAATAATCGTGTTTTCACTGTTAGGACAAGTGATTGGGCGAGATAACCAAAAGTCAGTTTTGAACTAGTAAGAGCTTGTGACTACTGGTTTGGTTATCCCTTGGTTAATTATGAGCATTTCCTTGAAAGAGTGATACAACATCGATGGGTTTAAGGCCGCTTTCAGACGTATTCCAGTTATATCATATTGTGTCAGCTTAAAGTAGAAGGAAAGCCTGAAGTAATGCAGGTCTCAGACTTTGGTGAAACCCATGGGTATGGTGCTGACATTTTAGTCTTAAGTTCATTTAGTCCAGAAAACTATTTCTTGTTCTAAAGATTAGACGGCCCATAACCTTACAAAGTAAAACAAAGAAAGAACATTGCTCTGTGACGGAAAATATGCTTTATATAAACATGAGGGTTTTTTCCATAAGAAATGAACCTTTACACTTAAAAACACTACCTGTTTACATTGTGATGAAAGGAAAATCCATAAAGTAAACAGCAAATGTAGTGAACACATCAGATATTAACCTTACACCCAGTGTAAACATTTCACTGAAGACACTGTCACACATTAATCTTCAATATTTCTGTATTCCTTATCCTCTATTAGTTTACGTCTTTATACAAGAAACACAATTTTGACAAAGTGAGAATTTCCATTTTCCAATTCATAAACTAACATGATAAATGTACAGAGTTACCTAACTTGAGCAAATACACACATAGAGAAGTATCAAACGCACTCAAGTCAGATGAAAACTTAACTGTGAACAGACTGATTTTTATCCCAGGGTGATGTGACCAATAGCAGTTTCCAGCTAAGCAAGATACTAATAAACCATACCCTCTCTCCCCAGGATGAATATCATCCCCCCAGTTTATAAAACAAGGATACACTTGTGCATGTTTAGGCTAAAACGTTCACCACATTGTAAACTAAGCATCATGATACACAAGACTTGAGTGTATCGTTTCAAGCTTAATGGCAGCTGTGATAACTGCAGTACTTTGATACACATGAAAAATTGGTAGGCCATGTTCTATACAAACCATTGTTTCTAGATGGCATTTTAGCATAGGGTAGGGCATATAGTGTTTACGTTAAAACAGAAATAACTTGGTTAACCTAACTGTCTGTTTGCAGCTGATATGTAAAACTCCACTTTACACCTAAAATAATTCAGTCGTGGTTCAGATTTCAACATCCTTAAAACTTGATTGGTGGGCATTTTCATTTTGATACATCAACTTGTGACGCAGAAGTAAAAATACTACTCAAAGAAGTTAAAAAACCATCAGATTCTTTTATATAACTATAGTTAAACTATGCCATGAGAGACTACAGTAATATGAATGAATCCAATCTTTAACTTCTTTTGAGTAGTACCGGGATATACATCTTCCCGAGGCAAGTGAGTTAACTGACTATAAAAGTCCCGTTTCCACCCTTGCCGAACTAGGCTGGTATTATGGAGTTACATTTTGGCTGGACTAACGAGTCTATGCACAGTCCAATCAAAATCGCGCACCAAAATCAAAATCCGGTTCATAAACTGTCGTGCATGTGCACCACCAACTTGTTGTCAACAGATATTTTCCAAATCTTTTCATGTTTATAATCAAGATGCTCACATGATTTGATGCATTTCGTGATGTAAGTAACGTTTTATCACAATATAGATCTTGATTATCGATCAGATCGTCCTGACTTGGCACCACCATTTTGTGTGAAGCAAACGCAAGTGATACGAGAGGTGGAATTTGACTGGTCCATAGGAGAGGCTTAGAAGGGACATAACTGGTAAGTAATAGCCACTGGTGGAGCTACGATCGAGCCCAGTAATTCCAGCCTAGTTCGGCAAGGGTGGAAACTGGATTTTTAAAGTCACTTAACTCTCTTGCCTCGGGAAGATGCGGGATATCATATTTATCACATATCTAATAGAAATGACAATTGTTTGAAAGTTTGGTAAGATGAACACTAACTATTATATTACAGTATTATTGGGTTGTGGCATATGTATGTAAACACTGGTAGTTAGATGATTCTGATGGCAATGTTTCTGGGGTGATGTATGACTGGTCTAATCAGTGGTCCCTGCTCGCTTCTCAGGGGATAGGCTTCAGTGACACAGAACCTGAGAACAGTAACACAAAGGCAGTATGTTGGTAGGAAGTATATAAATAAATGTAAAACCATTCTGTGTGAATCTGTACAAATGAAACATGGTTAGAATAAATCAACACATAACCAGCCATGAAATAAACACCAACTTAAAATGAAAAGAATATACAAGAAAGAATATTGAGAGTCAAAAATATTTTCTAATTACATTTTACGTCCTTTCTCTATTTAGCACCCATAGTATCAAAATATACATTCCTCTGGAATTGTCAATTTCATTAAAATCAGACCTCAGTTCTCCCTACCACTAAACAAAGATCTGAGGACATCCCATTAGTGGTCACGTCAGAACGACCTTTCATCCAACTAATCAGAACGTCGCTTACCAGATTATGAAAGGGACAGTCGGAATGTGATTTCTAATCATGCAATCTCGAAAAATTTAACTCCGAACGATAGTTACAGGTTTAATGACCGAATCCATACAATCTAGACCATCTATTAGCCATTCAAGAATGTTCTTTTGTTCGAGTTTCAAATTTGTAATCGAGAGTTTGTCAAAATATGTTTCGAAGCGTAGTCGCCAATTTGAAATTAGTGCCATAAAGCATGAGAAAGCTGCCTTCTGATTGGTCATTCCATTGGTCCTCAAAGTTTGTGGAAGGTCGGTCTGACGTGACCCTTAATGGGATGTCCTCAGATCTTTGTTTAGCTGTAGCTAGAACTAAGATATGATTTTAATGAGATTGGACTTTAGTATGTATGGTTTCTAGTGGTGTAACGATACGGTGCTACAGTGTTGTATCCCAATATGAGGCCTCCGATACATCGATTTACAAACCCTGTATCGTGATATATACGATACATTACAAGTTATATTGGTGTAAAAATTGGTGAATACGTACTACTCTACACTTGGAAATTTTCACGAGCAGCCAAGTTATGCCAAACTGTGAATGGCACACACTTGCAATAGTTTCATGACATTGTTATTATTGCAGCACATTTCTTATATTATGAATCGTATCGTATCACGACTCCACCGCATCGTTACACATCTAATGGTACCTGCTAGATGTATATGGCCATACAGACTCTCAAGAACTAATTCTTCCTGGGTATCAGTTTGCTTTCAATACAAACACTCGTATAACAAAATCTGTTCATTTTCTCAAAGAAAAATTGCTTATATAATTGAGAATCTGAAAACACTTTTTACAATTCATCTAATCACACAAGGTGAAGCCATGTCATTAATGAACACAGAAAGACATGCATCCTGCTTGAATTGAACCTCTTAAAGGGCACTTTCTAAAACTATCAATATATCTGATATATGCCGGTAGATACATAATTTTACATCTCCCATGTTTAACCCAGGTAGTGATGTTGAGTGAAGGACAGTGAGTGAGTTTGGATTAACAAAGGTGTGAACAGAATTTAAGTCGAAGAGAGTCAATCTGCCCCAAACTTTAAAGTCTACTGGCCTGGTCCTTCATCTTTGCATATTTTCATGTTAATTTCTGTACATTAGCTGAACTGACTAGGCCCTATCAATACTTTACTAGGCTCGGGCTGCAGACAAGTGTAAAGATGCAGATGGTAGAGCAGTGGTCTCATACAGAACCCATCACTAAGACGCCAGCAATCTTCATCCACTTAATTTAATCGAAATAACTCTTATTGTGATAATTATATGGTGTCATGTTGTCGCCAACTTAAAATATCTTTTTGATTTCATGTTATTATTTAACTGGCCATAAGCAAGTTGTATGGCATTAACATTTGATGAGGTGTTTATCTCACAGGTGGCCTTGTCTCTGGCACATGAACATGTTGAATTCAATGATAAAAATGATGTGTTTATGTACAAAACTGAATGTATGGATCAGCATAATGATAGCAGCAACATACAGCACCTCATCACCACCATCTACTTAATCCGTCTCATCTCAACAGGCAACAATGAGCTGGATAAAACAGGTAACTTCATTTATACTGGACAGTCAAACTGCTGCACATTTGAGAAGATATAGGAGTGGATGTCTAATGAGTTTAATGGCACTAAGACTCGCCATTTTCACCATCATGTCTATTTCGTTTGTGTTCACGATTTGAGTCTTTGTCCCGATCTTCACGAGATCGGCCATGCTTATCCCTACTCTTCTCTTTTGACCTTGACCTCTTTGGTTCTCGTGACCTTGACCTCCTCTTCTCCTTATGCTCATCAGTTGACCTATGTTTGTGCCGTTCAGATCTCTCCACTCTGTCCTCACTGTGGGACATTTCCTGCCTCTCACGACTACGCGACCTGCGCTTATCTCGACTCCTTGACCTTTCATGCCGTTCTCTACTGTGTGACCTTCTCTTCTCTTTGTTTCTTGTTTCCTCTCGTCGATCTCTGCCATGTGAACTTTGAATATCTCGGCTTCGATGGGACTCTTTTTCCTTTCTCCTCTCCTTTTCCCTTTTGTAATCCTTTTCTTTCTCACGCCTCTGTCGTTCCTTTTCTCGCTCCAGTTCCCTCGCAAAGTCATCCATTGGACCTCTCCTTTCACGATCCCTCTCTCGGTCTTGCCTTGGGGAACCTCTGCGAGGGGAGTGTCTTCTTTGAGGTGACCGTCTAGGTGAACGACGGGGTGAGGCTCTTCTATGAGGTGATGACCTCCGAGGTGACCTTGACCTATGTCTCCTTGGAGGACTGAAAGAAAGTTGGATTTTTTGCACTGATAGGGTATACATTTTGATTTTGAAGAGTAAAGTTGCTTTTCCATTTGGACTGACTAACATAATTGAAATCATAAGGCTTTTAAATATGACCATAAATTACAAATTGATTGCTTTACAATGTTTCTGGTCTGTTGTAATACAATACAAACAATGTTTAAAGAATACTGCTTGTAAATAATGTTAAAGCTTTCGGTAGATTCTGTGGTAAGTCCTTATCACTAGATCTAAAAAAAAACAAACAGGGTTGTGCAATGGTTAAATTCTCAATGTACTGAAAGTAAAAAAGTACCGGAAATGAGTCAGTAAGAATGAACCTCTCTCTAGCATGTTTAGTACTGCCAATGTCAAATAATACAGATGCGACAGAAGAAAGAAATTGGGCTGCAGAGGAACTGGTTACCATGGTTACTCATACTGACAACAGAAAGACGAAAACATTAAGACAAAAAGTGTTGGTTACCTCTCACTCACCTTCGTCTGTTGGCAGCACGTTCAGCCTCTCCGAAGGACACATCTTCCTCCCCACGATTCCGGTCCTGGGGTATAAACTCAGGCTCCTCCGCAGCAGGCCGCAGAGCAGGGCGCGTCTTCAACTTCTCCTGGATGGACTTCTGTACTGGGACTGGGATCCGAGGGAACAGCGTTGAGTACCACTCCAACTTCACCAGGTACTGTCGACACAGCTCTCCGATCGTGATTGCGTGTCCTCCACCTGCCTTGACATCAATCTCCTGCAACAGCAACAACAGATGTTACCAACAGCTGTCAACAGCAGCTTCATCAACAGAAACAACCTGTCATGGGTTTTGCTCTAGCCAGATGGAAATAGTACCGAGGGTTTGAAACAGGGATCTTTTGTTTTACAACAAATGACTCAAAACTATTGCAAAATGGAATAGCATCTTTCTGTGTTCTTAAAGTTACACAAATATCCCTATTTCATAAATTTGTGAGGAAAAGGGGTGTGAGAAAACATGTATGTGTTTGACAATAAGCGCTGAAGGAACGCTAAATGAACGAGGCTGACATATTGGGACATATCAGCATAGACACTGCAATGAAAAGAAACCAGCAAACGGATACTGACATGCAATGGAGTTCTAGGTCATATCTAAACAGTCTTGTATCTTATGTATCACATCAGAGATGAAGACACTGATATGTTGACAATATTTGTCATTCCTCATTGTAAGGTTGTCATGGTTGTAACCATGTGGACAATATTATCATTCTTCACAGTATACTTGTTACCATGTTGACAATAGTCATTCCTGACTGACAATATTGTCATTCCTCACTGTATACATGTTACTATGTTGACAATATTGTCATTCCTAACTGAATACATGTTACAATGTTGACAATATTGTCATTCCTAACTGAATACATGTTACTATGTTGACAATACTGTCATTCCTAACTGTACACATGTTACTGTGTTGACAATACTGTCATTCCTCACTGTATATACATGTTACTATGTTGACAATATTGTCATTCCTAACTGTACACATGTTACTGTGTTGACAATACTGTCATTCCTCACCGTATATACATGTTTCTGTGTTGACAATATTGTCATTCTTCACTGTATAAATGGTACCAGGTTGACAATATTGTCATTCCTCACTGAACACATGTTACTATGTTGACAATATTGTCATTCCTCACTGTATACATGTTACCATGTTGACAATATTGTCATTCATCACTGTATAAATGTCAAAATGTTGACGATGTGATGTTACTGACTACAACAGACATTTAAGGGACGTGTCAGGACACATGCTAGAAACAAGGAAGCACTATTGCTTGTGAAGCACTGATCAAAGTTTAACCTCAATCGAGGTCCGGCTCCGCTGCGAGGCAGCTGTCTCTACCACTCGAATGCTGGGCTAGAGCAACACCCTGAAGTCACAACAAAATAATAAACAATATGGGAAGTATAGAAACATGGCAACAATTACATTTAACATGCTTACGTTATATGTACAAAGACATCTCTTTAGAAAAATCATTATTCACTTCTAAGAATATCAAATCATATGAAATAGTCAATATTATTTTGCAAGAAACATTTTCTTTTAAATTAGTTTGAATTCTTCAATAGGTAGTGCCATGATATTAGTTAATGCTTTTTACCAATTGTTCAACAGTGAAAGTGGAAAGTTATACCAACAGGTCAGAGAATACAATGTGTAAGTAAAAATTTAATTCACAACTGACACTGATAGCTACAATGTAACAGAGTATAGGCCATATTAAAAACAGGTAAGTTTCAGGCAACCAATTGTTTGAACCCCATGAACATACAAACATTTCTATATAGGGATTTATCTAGGATACCAAACTAAGTGCCCTTGGCAGACAAAATGAAAAAAACCCACAAATTTGGTAAAACTTGGGACTGAAACCTCATCAGAAATCCGCTCCAGATCAGAGGCGGATCATGTGAAAAATGCAGCACAAATGGAATGTTGCCTAAAACGAACTATTTTTAGTTTGGCCTAGCATGTATGTTAACATGGGATAGAGTAGAAGACTGGTCACTATACTCACCACATTGTACTTGATGTCATCAGCCGACACCAAGGGACATGGTTTGAGGGTGTGTGATGGTATAGTGGGGTGTATTGTGTGTGTGTGCCACAAACTATCAACTTCAGTACAACTCTTTACTGACACTGACAACAGACTTGCATTGGGTCTCTCATTTTGCCTTATCTTGATGACATTATTGGGCTGACCATAGGGCTGATAATCCAGCCATTATAACTACTGCAGAACTGAGCATAGAATATATATTGTGGGATTCTCTGCAATAGTGTGGTGATTGTATGCTGAGAACTTTAACATCCAACAATGGCCTGATGTTGCTTTGATTATAGTCTGGCATTAGAACATTGCCCTCAAGTATCCATTCTATTGTCAGTTTTGATTATGGAGACAATTTGGTGAATAATTTTGTTACATGTACACATGCCATGCTTATCACAGATCTTGCTTATTCATTTGGATCTTTCCAGAGATGCCAACGCTAATTGAAGCTTTGGAGTAATCAGTGGGGTAAAAAAGCGTAATTATATGTGAAAAACTGTAATGTTAAGAGTAACATGCCAGGATGCTGGTTTTCTCTATGACAGTTTCCATGGTTTCGTTTGGCCTATACGCACATAAAGCATGGATACACATGCACTGACGCTTGTAATGTAGCTGCACAAGCAAGCTGCACTATTTTAAAACAAATGGTGATAAAGCTCAAAACAAGCAGAAAAAATGACTTGCTTGCGTTTGTATGGTTAAATATGACTAAACCTTGAATCTGAATATTAATCCTGAATATCAAAGCTGTTGTGTGGGGGCAAGACCCCTAAACCCAATTATTTTAGTGAGGCAACAAAAACTGGCGTCGGAAATACTGCATTCCCACCGACACGTGGTCAAAGCTCCACACATTCATAAAATTCATCATGTGACAACATTAACTGTATTTAGAAAGACAATGTGGTGTTTCGAGTTCCTAAGAAAGATCGATGTACATGCAATAAGCTTCATGTGATCGGTGCATTAAATGTTTGCTCTCCGTGATATTTTATACATGTAAAGGGGGCGTGGGGGGGAGAGAGAGGGAGAGAGGAGATAAGCCTGATAAGCGTAACACATCATTTAAGGCTCAAAAGCATAATCATAATGCCATAGGAGAAATTGTTGACATCTGTCTTTCGCACACTTTTTTCAGAAGGGAAAACCATGCTGGCCCTAGCATCTTACTGTCACATGACTCTGTTGGCTGCTTTAATTATTATCACATTATCAACCTGTTTGTCTTAAAATTCTGGAAACTCTATAAACACATTTGATTGTCCACAAAACTAGTTGTTTAACTGTCCAAGGAAGTAACTACTTTAGTAATGCTTTCATCCTAGCAATACTAACTTTTCTGACCTGAAGCTACCGATGTGGTTCCTTTTTTTGTTGTGATGTGTGATGTGTGATGTGTGATGTGTGTACAGTGGGCGCAACATACCTCTTCGTCATCTAGATAGTCTTCATACCACTCCCATAAGTCGTTCGGAGGCTGAGTGTACCTGCAAGAAGAAAACTGTCTAATTTCTAGGTTGAAGATTAACACACAAAGAATCCTGTAGTCATATTTGCTCTAGTAGTTAGTGTTATGATCAATCCTCTGGCTATGCTGATGCAATATTTAACATGTTTAAGTTAACACCTGTCCACATTGTGGAATCCAATTTGTAAATCTGTAAATAATCAAGGCTGGACCAGACAATCCAATGATTGACATTATGAGCATTGATCCACGAAATTGGGATACGATGACATGCATCAATCAAGTCAGCAAGTCTGACCACCCGATCCCATTAGACGCCTCTTACGACAAGCATAGTCGCATTTACTGCAAGCATGGGTTGTGGAATACACCAAAGCAGTCTTTATATAGTAACATATTTTAGCAAAGAGAAAAAGTGAACAAAAAGGAAAAATAGATGACACAACATGTACAAGAAACACTCCAAGCATACCAGGGGCACGGGTGGCCCAGTCGTGTAAGGTGCCGCGATTCACTGTGCAGAGTTGCGTCCTTTGGGAACGCCAGAAACCTATGATTGTGGGTTCGAATCCCGGTTCGCCCCGAATATATTTCTAGGTTTGTCAGCACCATACCTGTGCTCGTGGGTTTCACCGAAGTGGTAAATGTCTCAGACCTGCATCACTTCAGGCTTTCCTCCCACATTAAGCTGACACGCCGTCATATAACTGGAATACTGTTAAAAGTGGTGTTAAACCCAACTCACGCATACCAAGCAACATGCCCTTTGTTTATGTTTTTAATCAATATGTTCAATAGTCACAAATTTTTACAAACCTGTAGAGGTTATGAATTCTCTGATGAAATCCTCCTTGGGGCACTTATTGCATTTTCCTTGCTCAAGAAAATCTACATGACATAGTTGTAACCATTTTCCTTAATAAAAAATGTTACCACACAAAAAACTTCGTTTTTGTATGATATACGACCACCCTTACGGGGCCTCACCCCCAACGGCGCCTCACGCCAGGGGGAGCAACTCTCACCCAAATCACTTTCCATATGTCAAATGCTGACGGAATGTGGGGAGGTGGGTGGCCGTGCCCCAAGGAGGATTTCATCAGAGAATTCATAACCTCTACAGGTTTGTAAAATTCTCTTTCTGATTAAATCCTCCTTGGGGCACTTATTGCATCAAGACAGACTCCCAAAGATAATCTAGGAAGTGGCATCCGTCAGCAACAGGCGTAAATAAATACATCGTATTTGATTATTCAACAGAATAAAATATTGAGTTCAATAAATGGAACCAACCTTATCGTGAGGCACCACCGTCGAAAGGCGGGGGCTAGAGACAGGGCGTGGTCGACCATATATTATGATAAAGCCTGTTTTTGCGGCTTGTCATAAGTTGAGAACTCGAAACACCTCCCACCCCCCCACACTTTTTTTGAACAAGTGATATAAGGGCGTAGATCACGAGAGACCATAACCAGCGCTGAGCTAGGCCAGAGGGTCCCCGAGGATCGAAGGAGTGCGTGTGCAAAATACGAGTATTATCGAGTAGTAAGGACTGATATTTATCGACCACAGAAGATAAAATCCGGACCATTACTGAGCAGTATAACCGGAAGACTGTCTAAAATCTCGAATGCTCAATCAGCTAGAGATTAGAAATTTGCCCAGTTCGGAGAACTGACTGACCAAACCGAGTACGCTCGCTTGAGTGTTTGTCGAGTTGGTAAGGTTTGATGAATCGTGCTCGGCTGGCTCCAAATAGCCGCGGAGCAGATCTGCTCAATGGGCAGAGCCGCGGCGTACGCTTTTGACGCAGCCACTGCTCTAACCTAATGAGCCTTCAACCTGGTAGGGGGGTCCCTGCCTGTAAGCGTATACGCTGTACAAATGGTTGAAACTATCCACCTCGAGATAGATTGTTTACTCGCAGGTAAGCCAACCTTCCTACCGCAGTAACAGCAAAATAGTTGGTTATCCTTACGGACACCCATATTTCTGCTGATATAGGCCTTGAGAGTCGTGCGGACATCCAAGACATGAGCATGTCTTGCAGTGGTCCCCGACGAGGAAGGCTGTGAAAGAGCAGGTAGCTCAATAGGAGCCGTTCACGTGGAATCGTGTGCGACCCTAGGACGGTAATAGTCCGGTAGACGAAAACTGACTGTCCCGGTGATATTTATCGACCCCATGGAAGACAGTTATTTTGGGATCGGCTGACATAACACGAATGTCGCCTACCCGTCTGCCGGACGTTACCACCACAAGGAACGCCGTCTCCCAGCTCAACAGCTGAAGAGAGAGAGACGACAGATCCCGAAAGGAAGGACCGGACAGCCAATCTAGAATGACTGACAAGTCCCAAGGGGGACTGATCCGCCGGACTGGCGGTCGGATCCTGTCCACACCTGCTAAAAAGCGCTGCACTAATGGGTGTGCACCCAGAAGTGCCCCGTCGACAGGGACGTGAAAAGCTGCGATAGCTGTAGAGTACCCTCGGACTGTTGATGCGGCCAGGCCGTCATCTAGTCGCGACTGGAGAAACTCAAGCACGGATACGAGATCTGCAGAAAAAAGATCTGCAATCCCTCTATCGACACACCAGCATAGCAGGCCTATCTATCGTACTGAACGTTTGTCGAATCCCTCCGCGAAGCCAGTATTGTGTCTGCAACTCGTGCAGGAATACCGCTCTTCCGGAGGCGATTCCTGACAGTGGCCAAGCCACCCATTGAATCCTGAGATTCGGGTGGAGGGCCCCGTTCTGGGATAGGAGGTCCGGTCGTAAAGGTAATATAACAGGAGGCTGAGCCAGAAACCTGAGTATTACTGGAAACCCACTCTGCGCCGACTAAAGAGGTGCCAGGAGCACAATTAGTCACGCAGGCTGAGTGCCTAGCTGAGACAGGACCTTGGAAATCAGAGGTACTGGGGAGAATGCCCACAGAACTGTCCGTCCAATCTAGCTGAAAGGCGTCCGGTGCCACCGACCTCGGGTCGTGGACTCGGGAGCAGAACGTTGGTGTCTGGTTATTTAACCCAGACGCAAACCGATCCACCTGTAACGACCTGTATAACAGGGAGAAAATCCCGAATATCCTCGGGTCGAGCCTTCACTCGTGAGGAGCGAGGATCCGGCAAGACAGAGCGTCCGCACGGACGTTGTCCACCCCCGGGAGATAAACAGGTAGCACCCTGATATCGTGAGAGTCGCACTATAGTAGGAACTGCCACGTCTTTCGTCGAAGCGACGGAGACGCCGTTCCCCCCTGCTTCCGGATGTAAGTCATCGCCGTTTGGTTGTCCATCTCTAGACGAACCACTTGGCCACGAAGCAGATCCGGGAAGCGTTGGAACACCAACCTGACTGCTCTCAGTTCTAGCACATTGATATGCAGTTTGATCTCCTGCTGGGACCATAGTCCCGAGGCAGTGTGATCATTCAGAACGCCTCCCCAGCCGGAGAGTGACGCGTCTGTTTGAACTGTGAGAGACGGAACGGGAGTGATTCCCGACCTCGGTCCACCACTGGAGGTGTGTAATGAGCCACTACGGAGTCTCGAGCACAGTCTCGAGATCTTCCGAGTTCGCCCAAAGTCGACGGAGTGCTTGTTGAATGGGACTCATTCTCAAGCGCGCCCGCCAGACCAAATCCACTGTCGCCGCCATGTTGTCCAGTAACTGGAGCCATGTACGAGCAGTGTGACTTGCGCTTAAGGGACTTGATATCTTGTGACAGAGATACACGTCCTCTCACCGTGTTGAAATTAGCCACTAGGAAGACTAGATTCTGAGTGGGGCTCAGATCTGACTTCTTGAGATTGACCATCCACCCTAGAGTGATCAGAATATCTATCACTTGTTGTGTAGCTATCTGACTCAGGGATTGCAATAGAGCTCTTAGTAACCAGTCGTCGAGGTACGGATGGCAGAACCGACCTTTTGACCTGGCCACTTGGGCGGGAATCAACATCAGCTTGGTGAACACCCTCGGGGCCGTGGAGATCCCGAATGGTAGAACCCTGAACTGATAACACCTCCCGTCGAAAGAAAACCTCAGGTATTTCTTGAACTCGGGGTGTATTGGTATGTGGATGTAGGCGTATTTTAAGTCTATTGACGTTAGCCATTCTCCTGTCTCGACAGTTGAGATCACTGTATGGTGACTAGGAAACAAGTCGAGTAGAAGCCCTCGCTTTCCTGTCCCTCGGGACCCGGTTCGATCGCAGCTTTCATAAGAAGTGCGTCGACCTCGGCACGGAGGAATTCCGCCTTCTCTCGGGTAGCAGGCACCTGAGTGTGCTTTATCCCGGAAAAGTGGAGGAGCGGATGAGTTTTCCCGATAACTTGCGACTGTGGGTTCACCCGGGGCTCTTCGGGCGCTAATGGGAACCCATCGTTCCCAGCCCCGCGAAAAAGCTGTTGGCCTCGACCAGCTGCCTTGCCCCGGCCCGTGCCTCTCTTGCTCCTCCCGGCGCCCTTATACCTGAAGGAAGCGGCGGCTTCCCAGCAGGTGTGGACGTCTGACCCGTGCATTAGCGTAGGAGGGGACAATTGGAGAGGCCCGCTTACGCGGTTTTAACGCTTGGTACCTCCAACAAGGCCTTATGAGTCTTTGATGGAAGTATACAATTGAGCAGCCTCTCGGACCGCCTGCTGAGCCCCAGGGAAGAGGGTGGCACCCTCTTATACGGCAAAGCAAGTAGGTCTTGGCGTGTGTAAGTCGTGCATAAATTGTGAAACTAGAAGCAAAGGCGTAATGTAGAATGCGATTTGTAACGCGATACTAATAGCCAATGTCGTAGTATAATTATAACACCAAAGGGGCGTGTTACGCGCTAAGGTGTAAAAACCCGTAAAAAAGGTAAGTGTAGTTTATGAATTAACACACCACCTTGGGTTTTGTAAAGGAAAAAATTGTAGACCAATGCTGTATGATATAACAAAACCCCAAGCCGTTTCTTAATGGCCTTGGTGTTACATGTATCAGCCCGTGGAACTACAATATGGACGCCATTACGGCCATTTGAATTCAAAGGTACCGTGCACGTGGCGTATTATTACAACTCTATAACTTCACAATGCGAGGTATTACGCCTTTGCAATGAAAGAAATGTACCATACATACAGTTTGGTCAGCCATGGTTCTTGTCGAACGATAGATTTCTCTTATTTTTGTCTTGTGTGAAAAATCAACACGTCTGTCTCTTACAGATGACATAAGGAAAGTGATTTGGGTGAGAGTTGCTCCCCCTGGCGTGAGGCGCCGTTGGGGGTGAGGCCCCGTAAGGGTGGTCGTATATCATACAAAAACGAAGTTTTTTGTGTGGTAACATTTTTTATTAAGGAAAATGGTTACAACTATGTCATGTAGATTTTCTTGAGCAAGGAAAATGCAATAAGTGCCCCAAGGAGGATTTAATCAGAAAGAGAATTATCATTTGATCATGTGAATAAGAGATCACTTCAAAAAGAGTGCTTGCAAATATTTTTTGTTTCCAAAAGTGTCAGTTCCTGACTCTGAAGTGTCAAACTTATGGTTGTCTCGAAGTGAAAGCTTGGTCCTTGAGTATTCCTTCTTTAATAATGATTTTCGGGTTAAGTCGAACCTCACATAACTCGAAGTATTTACGTAGGACCCTCCAACTTCAATACATTGTTATTTGAGTGTACATTGAAAACTTATGGTTGGTTGGTTGGTTTGTTGTTTAACGCCTCACTCTGCAATATTCCAGTTATATGACGGCGGTCTGTAAATAATTGAGTCTGGACCAGACAATCCAGTGATTAATATCATGAGCATTGATCCACGCAATTGGGATCGATGACATGCATCAACCAAGTCAGCGAGCCTGACCACCCGATCCCGTTAGTCGCCTTTTACGACAAGCATAGTCACCTTTAATGGCAAGCATGGGTTGCTGAAAACTTATTCTACCCCGGATCTTCATGAGCCTAGTGAGTTTGATGTTAATTCAAGTACACTGCTTGGTTATCAAGCAAGTAATTTTTGTTTGTCTTCATATTTCTTGTTGCTGGGTTGCTGAAGACATATTCTACCCTGGAATCTTCACGGGTCTGAAAACTTATTGACATGTTTTGGCACAGATTGGAGTGTGTGTTTGTTGTTAAATGCCAAAGTCAACAATATTTCATCCACAACTATTAGGTGAGGTGAAATGGGAGTTTAACATCACATTCAAGATTATTGCATTCACAGAGCAATGTGCAAGCACCTGTGTGTATGTGGCTGCTAGTACTTGTCCAGACAACTGCCAGTTTTACAGTGTTGGCCCACTGAGATACCATGCCACAGTTTAACATTGGTACCAATCTCAGATACAGTACAGAGGCTCCAGGCCAACCAGTCCACCAGGCAGGGTAACAACAAGTCATCTTTTAAAGTCTTTTGATATTGTGAAGTAGGGTATCAAATCACCAATCTTGCACTTTCCAGGCAGACAATCCACAAGACCATGGAGGCGGTAACAGCCTTACTAACCTACCTGATATACATGAAACTTAGGCCTCGGATGTAGGGAGAATCAACATGGGTGATAACAGCCTTACCAACCTACCTGATATACATGAAACCTAGGCCTCGGATGTAGGGAGAATCAGCATGGGTGATGAGGCCAATGAGTTGTTTCTTGGTCAGCTTGAGAGTGAACAGTTTGTACAGCAAACAATAGGCACTAGAAACAATGCCCCCTGCTCCTACACCACGCACCTGAAGGAGAACACTGTAGTTTATCTACCACACAATAGAAATGGGACTCAAATTCAAAACTATGAAGTGTCTGCAATGCTAGCCACTTTGAATGTACAATTCTTACAATCTAGTGACCATGGTTAGCTCATCTAAGGCCATCATTTGTTTGATCATGGATCCTTCCCCAAAATAACATTTTTTTTCACCCACACATCACACATGGGTTGTGATTACTCAAGTATGTTTTTTTTTAAACTTTTAAAATAAAAATACCCCATCAACACTAACATGATGCAAGATATGCCATTCTTCTTTTACCAAATCAATCAGTATGATCAGTTGTAGTCAATTCTGTGCATCATAAATCTAGAACACTGTCCCTTGTCAGTGAGTTATACAGTGAGTGAGTGAGTATGGTTTTTACGCCGCTTTTAGCAATATTCAAGCAATATCAAGGGGGGGGGGGGGGGGGGGGACACCGTAAATGACCTTCACACATTGTACCCATGTGGAGAATCAAACTCAGGTCTTCAGCATGACAAGTGAACGCTTTAACCATGTTAAGCACTAGACTACCCCACCGCCCCCCTTCCTATACAGACTTTAGTGAATGTCTGACTTCAGACAATGGGAAACATTCTGTGATCCCTGAATCATGATAAAACATATAGGGCTAAAAAATTAAATAATCTTGGTTCTCAGGCACCACCTGCATCATAAAGTCTGTCGAAGGTTTGTTTTTATTTCCATTTTCAAAAAAATATAAAAACACAATGCACAAACAAAAATTGTAATGGGAACAAAAATGAAATGTGCAATGAACTTTATGATGATGTGGGCAGTGCCTGAGAACCAAGACTATTATTTCTTTTAGCCTAATATAAAACAAATGAACCAGGAAATGTGTGGTTTCATGCAAGTAACATTTTTCACATTTACTGTAATGACTAGTGAAGTTAACATCATCATCTAGTCAAAACAGCATCAGCTTGTTATTTTATGGGACATAGACAAGATTTGACAATTTAAATCTCAGAGTGCAGAAACTGGGATCAATAACTTAATTGTACTATTTGTAGACGTTATTCAGTTTTAATGTGAGATAAACGAAGACAAAATTGTAACAAATCATAGCATTAAACATTAAATTTGGTTGACATAAAGCAGGCTGTCATTGACTTCTTTTTTTTATCTTAATGACAATTTCTTTCTCTCTCTCCCTCCCTCTTGCATTGTGTGCTTGTGCAGCCATTTTTGGGGTGAAGGGACAGTGAGAACTTCACACTTTACGTGACAAATATGTGCAAGTAACTATCAATTGGTCATGAAGTTTCGAGAACTTTTTGTGTTGGTCCATATGGAGGTTAAAATTAGAATGACTATCTGGATATGATTCTATATCAAGAATCAAAGTTTTATCGTAAGGAAGATGTTATCAGTAGAGGATGCATCGTGTACACGAGACTGGTCTCCCGTCTCCCATACAAGTGACCACCTGAGAGGGGGTCACTGGTATGCGTGACTGTCAGTGGAACGTGGATTTCTGCATGTTGCACAAAAATGTCTCTACAAGTGTTATTTATGAAAATAATAAAACAAAATTAAGTACAGTTATTGATCATTATACTAGTTATTGAATGACATGACAGAAATGTCATAAGAAAAATAATACATGGTAATAATATGGTCATGTAGACATCCATTGTGGAATACCTAGTGAGATGGCATGGTATGTGAAGATGCTGAGAACAATAACCAGAACTCACCCCGCCACACATCCCTGTTTGGCCTGCCGTCTTCCGACTGCCCTTCTCCCAGGGTTCCAGGTGCATCACCTAGTGCAACACGAGGCAACTATTCAACACCGAACATCTTAGGCTAAAGTCAGGGTTCCAGACTGGGTCATCATGGTCACATAAGAAATTTACTGAGTGATTGCTCTCACGATTTTTACTCCATTGGAGAAAATACACTGGATATTGGCAGATGCATCATGATCATAGTCCGTAGGCACTTTGGTCAAACCCACAAGTATGGGTTTGGTTAGAGGGGCACAGTATAACTGGTATACCAGGAGTTGAAATACTGACGCATACATGCCATAATACATTTAGAAAATATTGATATATTGCATTTTTCAAAATCAACATGATCAAGTGTATTTTCACCTTGTTGGCAAAGTTTAGCACATTTAGATAAGTGACAAGTCCAACTGAAATTTATGAATTAAGAAATTAACAACTGATTCCTGTGATCGAAACAGTAAACTATTATTCTCGACCAGCTCCCTGCATATAATGTGTCTATTATGCATGTCTTGTGACCATAGCAACATCCAACAAAACAGCGGATTTGAAGTTATGAAAAAAATGTGCCAAGCCTGATGTACACAAATGTCATGCCAATCAATCGATCAAGGATTGTTATTATCTGCATGATCTGATTACATGGAACAATATATTTGAACGCACCACCCACCCATGCATGGCCTGTGGCATTGTACTGTTAGACCAGTTGGTCTATCATGTGATATCTTACCTACCTTGTAGTATATTTCATCAATGACTTCATGGTATGTCTTCAGTTCAAACAGGTTGACCTTGAAGTATGGTGAAGACTGAATGTTGGTCAGTATGAGAGTGTTCAGGTTCATTGTTTTCTCATTGCCCCAGACAGGCAGGGCATTGTTGGGTGCCATTATTCAGCAATCTGAAATCACACATGAATTGTTTGAAAGGCATAACTTAGAAAATGACAGATGACAAGGTAGAAACAATTTTATGGATAACAACTTCTTTAATACTGTAAAAAGCTTTTTACAGCATGTTACAGTATTAAAGAAGTTGTTATCCATAAAATTGTGAATACCTTGAGTGGGTGTGGTTTTTTAACAGTATTTCAGCAATATCATGGCGGACACCCAGAAATGGGCTTCACACACTGTACCCATGTGGGGAATCAGAACTCGGATCTTCTGTGTGACAATCAACCACCTTAACCATGTTAACTACTTGGCTAACACACCACCCCATGCCTAGACATCCATCAACCAAGTCAGCGAATCTGACCTATTCTCATGTTTTAACCTGGATCATCTCGGGTTAATCATGTTAATTACATCCGTAACCATGGCAAAAATAAGAAAATCTGGAATGGAGGTTACACAACATTTTCAACAGTTCAGTGATCATACATTATTGTATGTGTTACAACCATGGCAAAATAGACAAGAAGACATTTCAAATTTGATTAGAAAGTGAATGTTGTTTAATGCTAATGTCAGCAATATAATATTCAAGCTTATCACCATGATCACAGCATCCTGTAAATAATAAAGTCTGTTAAAATTAAGCCACTGACAATAAACTATTGACTCAATATGGTCAATAAGCTAGAACATCTGTTCTTTGCATACCCCTGAGAAGGTTGTATGTGACATAGGTGTTACTATGCACAGGCCATATGCACGCAATGCAACACTGATAGTGGCAGGGTCATGCGTAATTAATGCAGTTTGTGTTGAAAAAATGCAACAAAATTTCCCTATGATCATGATGAATGCCATTGAGTCTGTCATCATAAATAATGCACACAAAACTTTACACAAAATAAGGAAATGTTTTTTTTATCCTACACTGATGTTTTGAAACAGTCCCTAACAATTCTGTTTGTGTTTAACGATAAAATCTTTGTAACCTTTTGACAATGCTGTCTCCCAGCCTCTAGAGAATAAATCAACAAAGAAGTCCAACTCAAGTCTAGATTGCCTCAGCTCAGAAATTAAGGATTGTTCTAGGCACCATTTGGATATTATTATTCATATTTTGTATATATGTATTTCTAAATAAGATAGCTTTATTTCTGGGACTTAATGTCAGTCTAGCCCACCTACAAAATGTACAATATACCTACAATTCCCCATGGTTTGTGAAGCTGGGATAAACTGTGTAGAATCCACGTCTGACTCAAATATACTTGGCTGCCAGCACCAGACAACTGTTTTTAGACATCACAAGAATGCACTAGAATCCCCCTAACATTGTCTAATCTGTAATCAGTGAGGGAAATTTAATCATAGGGGTCCATTTCAAAACAATGATAACCCAAGTGTCTGAAATATTTTTATTGCCTACACCTAGTCACTCGTACAAACCAGGTGGGCTGGTGACTCATAAATATAACTAGCCTGGAAATAAATGCTAGTAGAGTAGGTAATCATTATCATTTTCTCAGATTTACTTTGCCTTTTGTAATTACAGCTTTATAATCATAACATTCACAATGTTATCTCTTGCTCCCAGGTAAGTGAAACACAAATGAATGTCAAAATGTTTCATGTTGTTGTACAGAGATGGAAATTAACGTGCACCAGTTTGTTAATGTTAAAGGTATCCTAAAGTCATGTAAACTTTCACAACATTTTGGTTTAAGTTATCACTATTCGGGCTAGTTGATTTTCTTGGTTAATTTCCATTGTTGTGAGACTCAGAATAGCAAGACTGTGTCTTCCTAGAGAGTCGGGGAGGTAGGAATAAATTTCACCTATCCAGGCGGAAATGGGATTGCTGGCAGGCTTCTATTTTGGACAGTGAATAGCCCCAATGATAAAAAGAACTCTTATATATATATTATGCTTAAGGGCCCAAGGATTCAAAAGTTATACACCATGCTATCGTGGCTATAGTAGAAAACCTTAGGACTTTCCATAACTTTTAACACTGCTCTCATGGATACTGACTACATAGTTCACATGTTCTTAGCAATTTGTCTGCCATGTTAGGTAGCTGCGAAATAAATTGAAGCTATGTACATGTAGGGCTCAGTATGCTTCAACATCTACTGGTCGATAATAGTACGATTCACTCCTTCAGGACGTTTTACTTAAGTCTTATGTTAATTTTACACATGCCTTTACAAGCTCTTACAGAATAGTGTGGTAAATATTATACCATGATTATATGGGGTTAGTCCAATACACATTGGTGTGTAAAAATATCATTATACGCATAAACATAATGAAGAAACATTGTCATATTACCATGCTCAGTTTTGGATTGTTCAGTACCTAATACTAGTGGAAAGACTTCCGCCTGTATCAGGTATCCCCTCCAAAAGTTATACATGTCAATTGCTGCTGAACAACTTTATTTATATTTTTGAGATTTTGGGTGGGGATACGGACAGCAGTCTTCCAATACTATTTGTACATACTACAAGCCTCCATGTTATTGATTCTAACTTTAATATTTTGTTAACCAAGTATACGTTGATATGTTGAAGATTTATCATAATCATGATAATAAACCATGCATATACATGAGTTCATCTTTTGTCCTACTATCAATAATTGTAGGGATTATTAATATTAATCTGCTTATGATTCAAACAGACACTACAGTATAGTGGTTAAAGGCAAGTGTCCCAGTAAATTGAATAATGGCAGCATAACTTTGATGACCAGTGAAACCAATATCAAACAAACACCAGATCAACACATCCTATCCCATGTCATAAACAGAACTAACCTGTCTTCGACCATGGGCAGATAAACATCCTGATATAGCATGTTAAAGAAATTCTTCATCTACAGGGGGGATATCAAGCTTTATGGATCAGATACATAATTACGTCGATGCATCGTCAAGAAGATAATGACAGCAACCCAGCACCTGTTGCCCCGACTCACCATCCACTTCCATCATGACCTCACTCTGAGCTTTCTATCTTTCAGAATAATTCATTTACTTGGTTCATTTTCACACAGAAAATGACATATGTGATAGCAAGACAATATAATTCCATGCCCTTCAACAAATACATTTCAAAACTAGGATTGGTCAAACCCTATCGACTTCATTCGAATAAACAATTTCGGCGCCATGAGGAACGCGTGCTTCATAGCCAACGTGGAAGACAAACACAAGTTTCCCTGAGTTCGAAAACAACGTCAAACGAACATAACTACTAACATATTTACTGACACAAACCTCTATGTTCCGTACCCGTTCAGAAACGTATGAATTGCGTGAGAAATCAATTGAGTCACTATTCGTGACATACCTTTGTACGAGTGATCCGGAACTGAGCCTCGTTTTCAATAATTGCTCAAGGGAGATAATTTTGGAAGCACGTTTGGGAAGAAAGGTCACATGCATATGGTTATGTTCTAACTTCAATCCCGTTTCCAAATAAAAAAAACCCCGACGTTTTATTTATGGCCCTTTTTCAATTTAACACGAATTCAATTGGAAAGTCAACTGTGAGAGAAACACATATGGACAGAGTAATGAATATTTTATTGCGCTTCAATCGCTCTCATGGTGGCCAGCAGAACGCTGTTAAAATTTATTAAGGTGAACAAAGGATGTCTATGTGTTACAGAAGTAAATATGGTTACTACCTTGGTTATCAATAGGAGAGTTGTTTAAATATATCCCCCATTTTATTGTAATATGATAACAGTATTATATTTTTTCTTTCTTCTTTTACTGTATCTACGACTGATTTATTAGTTGTACCTTAAATATACCCACAGCCGTTTTATGTTACTACTTTGAGTATATCGATAGCTGTTTTATTTGGCTTCTTTAAATACCTTTACAACTGTCTTATTTGTTTACTTTCAAAATATCTATTACTGATATACACCATGTACGGCATCCATATAATACACACGCAAGCAAGCTCCCACGTTCATACAATTTGGCCCACTCTATGAAGATTCATACCCCAATAAACTCACACAAGGTGGAAGCCAATCTTAAACACACACACACGCACGCTGCTACTACTACTACTACTACTACTACTACTACTACTACTACTACTACTACTACTACCGCTACTATTACTACACCTACATCTTTATACCATGATTATTACCTCGTAAACACGGCAGTGGGCACCGCAATATTCAAGAAAAAACGACATTCGCTTGAACTGACAAATGTTTGCGAATGTCCTTCTTTATTTTACATCTCTATCTACACTTTCCTGTAATGTCCTTTTTTTATTTTACACATCTGCCTACACGTTCCTGTAATGTCCTTCTTCATTTTGGATCTCTGCCTACACATTCCTGTAATTTTCTTTATTTTACATCTCTGTCTACAAATTCATATAATGTCCTTCTTTTTTTTACATCTCTATCTACATATTCTTGTAATTTCCATTTTTTATACACCTCTGTCTACACATTCCTGTTTTGTCCTTCTTTATTTTACATCTCTGTCTACACGTTCCTGTAATGGCCTTCTTTATTTTACAGCTCTGTCAACACATTCTTGTAATTTCCATTCTTTATACACCTCTGTCTACACGTTCTTGTAATGTCCTTTATGTAACATCTCTGTGTACACGTTCCTGTAATGCCCTTTATGTAACATATCTGTGTACACGTTCCTTTAATGCCCTTTATGTAACATCTCTGTCTTCATGTTCCTGTAATGTCCTTTACGTAACATCTCTGTGTACACGTTCCTGTAATGCCCTTTATGTGACATCTCTGTGTACACGTTCCTTTAATGCCCTTTATGTGACATATCTGTGTACACGTTCCTGTAATGCCCTGTATGTAACATCTCTGTGTACATGTTCCTGTAATGCCCTTTATGTGACATCTCTGTCTTCACGTTCCTGTAATGCCCTTTATGTAACATCTCTGTGTACACGTTCCTGTAATGCCCTGTATGTAACATCTCTGTGTACACGTTCCTGTAATGCCCTGTATGTAACATCTCTGTGTACACGTTCCTGTAATGCCCTTTATGTAACATCTCTGTGTACACGTTCCTGTAATGCCCTTTATGTAACATCTCTGTGTACACGTTCCTGTAATGCCCTTTATGTAACATCTCTGTGTACACGTTCCTGTAATGCCCTGTATGTAACATCTCTGTGTCTCTATCTACATTATGTAACATCTCTGTGTACACGTTCCTGTAATGCCCTTTATGTGACATCTCTGTGTACACGTAACATCTCTGTGTACACGTTCCTGTAATGCCCTTTATGTGACATATCTGTGTACACGTTCCTGTAATGTCCTTTATGTAACATCTCTGTGTACACGTTCCTGTAATGCCCTTTATGTGACATCTCTGTGTACACGTTCCTTTAATGCCCTTTATGTAACATCTCTGTGTACACGTTACTGTAATGCCCTTTATGTGACATCTCTGTGTACACGTAACATCTCTGTGTACACGTTCCTGTAAAGCCCTTTATGTAACATCTCTGTGTACACGTTCCTGTAATGCCCTTTATGTGACATCTCTGTGTACACGTAACATCTCTGTGTACACGTTCCTTTAATGCCCTTTATGTGACATCTCTGTGTACACGTTCCTTTAATGCCCTTTATGTAACATCTCTGTGTACACGTTCCTGTAATGCCCTTCATGTGACATCTCTGTGTACACGTAACATCTCTGTGTACACGTTCCTGTAATGCCCTTCATGTGACATCTCTGTGTACACGTTCCTGTAATGCCCTGTATGTAACATCTCTGTGTACACGTTCCTGTAATGCCCTTTATTTAACATACATGTGTCTCTATCTACATTATGTAGCATCTCTGTCTTCACGTTCCTGTAATGCCCTTTATGTAACATCTCTGTGTACACGTTCCTGTAATGCCCTTTATGTAACATATCTGTGTACACGTTCCTGTAATGCCCTTTATGTAACATCTCTGTCTTCACGTTCCTGTAATGCCCTTTATGTAACTTCTCTGTGTACACGTTCCTGTAATGCCCTTTATGTAATATCTCTGTGTACACGTTCCTGTAATGTCCTTTATGTAACATCTCTGTGTACACGTTCCTGTAATGCCCTTTATGTAACATATCTGTGTCTCTATCTACATTATGTAACATCTCTGTGTACACGTTTATGTAACATCTCTGTGTACACGTTCCTGTAATGCCCTTTATGTAACATCTCTGTGTACACGTTCCCGTAATGCCCTTTATGTAACATCTCTGTGTACACGTTCCTGTAATACCCTTTATGTAACATCTCTGTGTACACGTTCCTGTAATGCCCTTTATGTAACATCTCCGAGTACACGTTCCTGTAATGCCCTTTATGTAACATATCTGTGTACACGTTTCTGTAATGCCCTTTATGTAACATCTCTGTGTACACGTTCCTGTAATGCCCTTTATGTAACATCTCTGTGTACACGTTCCTGTAATGCCCTTTATGTAACATATCTGTGTACACGTTTCTGTAATGCCCTTTATGTGACATCTCTGTGTACACGTTCCTGTAATGCCCTTTATGTAACATCTCCGCGTCTTTATCTACATTATGTAACATCTCTGTCTTCATGTTCCTGTAATGCCATTTATGTAACATCTCTGTGTACACGTTCCTGTAATGCCCTTTATGTAACATATCTGTGTTTCTATCTACATTATGTAACATCTCTGTGTACACGTTTATGTAACATCTCTGTCTTCACGTTCCTGTAATGCCCTGTATGTAACATCTCTGTGTACACATTCCTCTAATGCCCTTTATGTAACATCTCTGTGTACACGTTCCTGTAATGCCCTTTATGTTACATATCTGTGTACACGTTCCTGTAATGCCCTGTATGTAACATCTCTGTGTCTCTATCTACATTATGTAACATCTCTGTGTACACGTTCCTGTAATGCCCTTTATGTAACATCTCTGTGTACACGTTCCTGTAATGCCCTTTATATGACATCTCTGTGTACACGTTCCTGTAATGCCCTTTATGTAACATCTCTGTCTTCATGTTCCTGTAATGCCCTTTATGTAACATCTCTGTGTAAACATTCCTGTAATGCCCTTTATGTAACATTTCTGTGTACACGTTCCTGTAATGCCCTTTATGTAACATCTCTGTGTACACGTTCCTGTAATGCCCTTTATGTAACATCTCTGTGTAAACGTTCCTTTAATGCCCTTTATGTAACATCTCTGTGTACACATTCCTGTAATGCCCTTTATGTAACATCTCTGTCTTCATGTTCTTGTAATGCCCTTTATGTAACATATCTGTCTACACATTCCTGTAATGCCCTGTATGTAACATCTCTGTGTACACGTTCCTGTAATGCCCTTTATGTAACATATCTGTCTACACATTCTTGTAATGCCATGTATGTAACATCTCTGTGTACACGTTCCTGTAATGTCCTTTATGTAACATCTCTGTGTACACGTTCCTGTAATGCCCTTTATGTGACATCTCTGTGTACACGTTCCTGTAATGCCCTTTGTGTAACATCTCTGTGTACACGTTCCTGTAATGCCCTTTATGTAACATCTCTGTCTTCACGTTCCTGTAATGCCCTGTATGTAACATCTCTGTGTACAAGTTCCTGTAATGCCCTTTATGTAACATCTCTGTGTACACGTTCCTCTAATGGTCTTTATGTAACATCTCTGTGTACACGTTCCTGTAATGCCCTTTTTGTAACATCTCTGTGTAGACGTTCCTGTAATGCCCTGTATGTAACATCTCTGTGTACACGTTCCTTTAATGCCCTTTATGTAACATCTCTGTGTACACGTTCCTGTAATGCCCTTTATGTAACATCTCTGTGTACACGTTCCTGTAATGCCCTTTATGTAACATCTCTGTGTACACGTTCCTGTAATGCCCTTTATGTAACATCTCTGTGTACACGTTCCTGTAATGCCCTTTATGTAACATCTCTGTGTAAACGTTCCTGTAATGCCCTTTATGTAACATATCTGTGTCTCTGTCTACATTATATAACATCTCTGTCTTCACGTTCCTCTAATGGTCTTTATGTAACATCTCTGTGTACACGTTCCTGTAATGCCCTTTATGTAACATCTCTGTGTACACGTTCCTGTAATGCCCTTTATGTAACATCTCTGTGTACACGTTCCTGTAATGCCCTTTATGTAACATCTCTGTGTACACGTTCCTGTAATGCCCTTTATGGAACATCTCTGTGTACACGTTCCTGTAATGCCCTGTATGTAACATCTCTGTGTACACGTTCCTGTAATGCCCTTTATGTAACATCTCTGTCTTCACGTTCCTGTAATGCCCTTTATGTAACATCTCTGTGTACAC